TGTTTATGTCTAGCCAGTCACCAGTGATGACCTTGATGTAGCTCAGACCTTAGTTTTGGAATTTACACTTTTGCTTGGTAACACTGTGCCTCTCATCTACCTGTTTCCTGACTACACCTGCCTTAAATTGCTCACTTACTGGATTGATACGTCAGTACTTCACCATTTACCCATTTATTTATTTGTCTACTGCTGGCCTTGATCCAGCTTTATAGGGCATCTGTTGAGAGATTACAAAAGGGGGAGTCTAGAAGTAAGGGATAATTTGTACTGTTTTAAGTAAACTAAGTTTCTCCATCATGGTATGTTTATTAAAAACAATCCAGGATCAACACACTGTTTCCCTGGTATACAGCCACATTAAAACTCCTGCATAGCACAGGCTTTCCTATCTAATACTAAGACTAGGGTAAAATACCACAACACTATTAGTGACTTTTTGAAAATTCCATATTCCTTTAGAAGAAAAATTAGTCCTCCAATTTCTTCTCGGATATCTCCAATTGAAGCATATTATGATAAGTATTTTTAATGTAATGATTTCATAACATATGGAGACATGATTGACCAACTTGGAAGAATTAAGTCATGGCAAGAAATAAAAGATGAAGGGAAAAAAATGAAACGGCTTCTTTACCACCAATTGATATCAAGATTGAAGAGAGAAATTCAAACAAGGAGATACTCCAAGAGATCTGATGGACTTTGAAAATCTGATTACATAGCAACAAGATCACTTAGTAGGACGAATCTACAAGCAACTACTTCAATTTGATACCAAGACTAAGAAAGTAAAAAAAATAGGCATGATAAATTCAATGCAGAATTTTCAGGAAAAAATGCTGATTGATCAATGGGAAGTTTTTATGGATGGATATAAAACTTACAGACAATCAAGCACTGAGAGAAAACTGGTATAAGATGTTTTTCCGGTGGTCTATTACTCCAAAAGATATAGAGACAATGGATAAGAACTACTCTGAAAGTACTGGAAATGTAAACAAATAGATATAACTTTTTACCATATGTGGTGGTCATGTGATAAAATCAAAACATTTTGGAAAGTATGAAATGTATCTCCATACATATGGAAATACAGAAAATTTTGACAATTAATTTTCCCATGGCCGCTGAGACTACGTTGCTCAGCACTGTACCAGAAACTCTGCCAAGAAATATGGTAGAGTTATACAAATAAATGATAACTGCAACAAGAGTCATAATTGCTTCAAAATGGAAAGCGGAAGATAACCCAACTATTGAGGACTGGAAAAATATATTAGCAGACTATGCAATAATGGCAAAATTGACTAATTATGTAAGTAGAAAACCAAACAAGGAATTTAATGATAAGTGGAAAGTGTATTATGCACAAATTACTTTATAATAGGAATAATAGAAAAAATTGCTTATGAATGCAGTGAATTTTTGAAAATATTGTCAGGGATTAACATTTAAACTAATACTTTTCTATTATAGCAATGAGAGTTATGGAAATGGAATGGAATACTTGAAAATACTGTTAAAAATCAACACTTCTACTGATGCTTTGTTAATATAGTAAGTTGCATTAAGATGAATAGCACTATGTAAGTACATGATAATTGTGGCTAGAGTTAAAACTGCCTTAAAATGCAAAGCATAAGAAATTTAATTCTTGAACACTGGAAAAATAAGTTTGTTGGCTATGTAGTAATGGTAAAACTAACCCTGTAGAAAGATAACCAGCCAAAGAAATTAATGATAAATGGAAATGGTATTGCACACCACTTCTTTTTAATGGGAATAATAACAGTGGAAAAATATAGATAAAAAGAGAGTAGATTTTTTGAGAAAATTGTTTGCGATTGGAAGAATCTGCTATGAATTTTAACTAAGTTCTAAACAAAGAAAAAGGTGACTGAGTAAAAAGGACAGTAACTGCTGACTTACAGTAACTTTTTTTAATATTCAACATTCTATGTAACATTTGCTAAGAACCCTGAGTCTTTCTTTGTAATTTTTACTTGTATTATTTATTATCTTCTTTTTTCTTCCTTCTTTTTTAAACTTTACTGTTACTAAAATTAAAAAGTAAAAAAAACAGTAACTTTTCCATATTTCCATAATGTATGTGATCACAGAAGATAGTATTCAACCTTCAACTTTTACATGTAAATTATGAACTGGCTGGTTCACAAACACTCCCCAGTTTAAACTTATTGTAAAGACTTACCTTCTCATCTGCAATGCAGAGATCTTCTTTCAGTACTACCTGCGAACTGAAACGGTAACATGTTGAGGACAAATATGTTGCTATTCTCACCAGTTTTATTTAAATATTAAAATGTAATTTTCTTACTTTTCAATCACATCTGCAAGAAACTGACTAGCTGCCTGAGCCTCTTCCCCTGGAGGTCCAGGTCGAAACCTTGATGAGCAGAGTGGAGGAAGATCCACATTAGGAACTGAGGGGAAAATAAATTATGAATCAAACTAAGCAAAACAATTAATAGAAGGCATCTAGAAGAAATTGTATGCTGCTTTTAAGAGCATATCTTCTCAAGCCAATTTCCTTCAAGGCTTCCCACTTTTGTGCTCTCAGTCACCAAGAAAAAGGATGGAAAATAAACTGTTACTTCTGTCTGGTAATCTGTGTGTGTCTACTGGCAGAAGGAACTAAAGAGAGAGGCATAGCACTAGAAAAAGCAGTGGCAGGGTGCAGTAGGAAGGGCAACAGGAAAGCCAGCTGGAAGCAATCTGCAGAGTTGGAGCAGGCTTTGTGCCAGGACTCTCAACTGATAAGGACTGTATGTGAGAAAGAGATAAGGAGAGAAAGGGTTGGAGGGATCCTGAAAAACAGAGTGTGGCTTTTCGGGTGCTTGCAGTCAGGGGGAAGGGACATGGGGTGCCTGCACATGCATACAAGGCTGAGGGCAGAATGAAGCTGGCTGAGGGCAAGTGTGTGCATGTAAATGTGAAAGAAAGAGAAACAGATCTTGTCCTTGGGTGGCGAAACAGGGTGAGTATGTGTATATAGGTGGTGGGGGGGAGGGAGGGAGGGAGGGGGGGAGGGAGGGGACAGAAGAGATTGGGGAAGAAAAAAAATGTCTTTTGTGAAATACATTTTGTTGGTGTTAAATTGTGAGTTTAAAGTTATTGCTTTAGAGGATTGAAGCTGAGATCCCCCAACTTCTAACTTGTTCTCATTCTCTGGGGCAGAATTTTTGTCCTTTGTGATGGCAGCAGTTTTGTGGTGGTACCCATGACTTTTTCTCAAAAAATATGTAAATTAAATGTGAAAAAGAAGCTCAAGGAGCAGCAAGTCAAAACAGTTAGAAAACCCAAAAAGAGATGCTTGCAGTGCTTGAGTAGATGAGTTACCAAGAGATGAAAGGACAAAAAGTAAAATAAGTTCCCTATTATGTCCTTGTAGTTCAGTGGACAGGGTGTTGGGACATGGAGATGGTCTTCACTCACTTCAAGGCTTACTGTATGGTTTTGGGTGGCTCCCATCTTAACATAGAGACATAGAAACAGAGCGAGTCAGAAGGGGTCTCCCAGGCCATCTAGTCTGACCCCCAGCCCTAATGAGCTCCACTCATGACTTCATGTTTTCTTACAACAAAAAATCAATTTTGGAAGGCAAGATGAAGAATCTGCACAGTGCCTTTTGAATGGCAGCATTTAGCTGTCCATCTGGAAGCACCCACTGTTTGACGCAGGACATTGACTAGTGTAGGATTCATCCAACCCATCAAACCATTTCCATTCTAAAAGACTTCCCTAAAGTTGCAATCTAATGCAAACATACCAGAAAGTAAATCCCACTGAACTCAGATTTCTAAGTAGATATGCATAGGATTATGCTGACAGTGCAAGATAATTCTTGTAATATAAGAAGAGTTATTAAGTATTCTTATTAGATTGCACTTTATTCTGAAAGCATATTTTCAAAGTTATAGAATGTTAGGTAGTACCATGAATTCTAATACAGTTACCAAATCTCTGAAGTACCTCAGAGAAGGGGAGTGGGGATGAACAAATTTACTGAAAAATGAAGAAAGAAACCTTACCAATATATCCCTTATGACTGGAATCAACAGGGGGTGCAGCAAATTCCTGTATGTGTTATATTTGAGAGGGAAGGAACATAAGGTTTCAATGGATTTTAGAAATGTTATTTCTATACGCAGCTATACTTCTGTTTATCACCTATCAACACCAGGTAGGCCATAGAACTTCTGAATGGGTGACTGAAGGCAGCTTTGGAATTGATGAAGGGTGAACAAGCTGAAGGTTAATCCAAAAATGACAAGTCCTTTGAGTAGGGAATTCTGTAGATCTGGGTAGAGGGTTTCAACTATATTAAATGGGGTTGCAGCCCCCCTTATTTCATAGATTGGAGGTGTCCTTGTTGCTGACTTTAACAGCCATTTTGGTTAGTACGTCTGGTCCTATCTAGGTACATAGAATTGGCCAGTTATATCCAATTTGTGCTTTATGGAATTGCCTTTGAAGAACACAACTTTGGCTGATAAAGAATACAGCTTCCTGAGTCCCCATTGGACCAAGATTTCTGGATCCAGTTAAAACAAAAACTGGTTTTGACATTTAGAGTCCTAAATACTTTGGATCTAAGATATTTGAAAGGCCACCTACAACCATATGAACCTGCCTTAGACAATTTTCAAAGGCCTAGTCATTGGCCCGCCACCAAGATCTAAGGCAGCCATTTTCCAGTGGAGACTCCTATACTTTGGAATTACCTCCAAAAAGTTATGTGGCTGGTTCATTTGTGTCTACATTTAAGAGAGTTTTAAAAACTCATTGCCTTCCTCGCTTTTGATTTTTTAAGTGGAAAAAAGCAGTTTTATGGTATGTGCTGTTGATGCATATATCAGTATTTTGAAAATATCTTTTACTGAATCAGATCTGATTTAAAGTAGTTACTATGTTTACTGCATTGTTTTCATATAATAAGCTACTTTAGGAAGACTATGGACTTGAAAGGTAGCTAAGGAATTGTCATTAACAGAGCAAGTCAGAGAAAAATGCTAAAGTTCAACTATTTTCAAAGGGATTTTATAACCTGAATGTTAACTTAAAGCACCTTTCTGTTCATGAACCTACCGCCTTTATGCCACATATCACTGTAGTGTTTCCTAATTTCACAAGGGCAGACCCATCTGCAGTTGTAATCGAACCTGAGGAGAGAAAAATGATTAACAAAGGCTTCCAAGTGAATATATTTGCAGATCAGGTTAAGGGCCCTTTGACTTCTTGCAGAATGAGAGGCTTAGGCTACATGTAGATAATAAGCTTTTTATTATTCCTTGCGATTCAGAATATTGAAGCTTCTTTTCTAAAACTTTTAAAGAAATAAATTGGAAAGTTTATATTTTTTTTAAACTTGCCTGAGCATTATTCAATAAGCCTTAAGTTTGAAAAGTAGTTGTGAAAAGTAAAAAATAATACATTTATTTTATAATTAAATATATACACTATCTTCTTTCTTTCTTTATGAAAGCCATTCACACCCTTCTGAAATGTCCTGGAAAGTTTGAAATCTTCCTTGGATTACTTGACAAATTGGTGAGAAGGTGTGGTGGAGGGGGAAGAAACAAGAAATTGAAAAAGGACAAATGAAAGATGCTGAAGGAAATATAAAAAAGAGGGAAACAAGATAGCAGCAGCTAAAGGAATTCAGATTGACTGAATTCTGATTTTCTGTACTTCTAAAGACCTATACCACACACTGAGCTAGAAAGGTTTAGAAGGTAAATTGACATTTTATCCATCCAGGTAGGTAAGGGCACACTTCACCCAAAGTTAAGTACAGTGGTACCTTGGCTCACAAACGCCTCAGTCACAAACAGAAATTTCTGAAAAATTTTGCCTCAGTTTGCAAACTCCGCATTGGGTGACGACCACAATCACGGCCGTGTTGCTGCACGAGCATGATTGCGATTGCGGTGATCGCACCCGTCTTCCCTGCACGAGCACGACTGTGATCATGCCCGTCTCCCCCCTGAGCACGACTGCAATCGCGCCCGTCTTCCCTGCACGAGTGCACCCACGATCACGCCTGTCTTCCCTGCATGAGCGCGACCGCAATTGCTCTCGTCTTCCCTGCATGAGCACGACCACAATTGCACCCATCTTCCCTGCATGATCGCGGCCATCTCCCCCTCTCAACCATGATCGCTATCGCACAATTATGATTTGGACTCTCCCTCCAAACAATTACCTCCCTCCCACCTAGGTTAGTGTTCGCTACTGTTATGTTATAACCTATGTTATTACTTTGTTGTTCTTTGTTACTTTGTTTCAAATTTTTGTGATTTAAAAAAATATTTACAGAATGGATTAACCTTATGGGGAGATTTGACTTGGCTCATGACCAAAATCAGCTCACAACCACGTTCGTAGGGGTCAGAATGGATTAACCTTATTTACATTGAACCTTATGGGGGAATTTGACTTGGCTTGCGACCAATTCAGGTAGCGAATGGATTAAGTTTGTGAGCCGAGATACCACTGTACATGCCTACCATACCTATTAACCAGTTAAACATATTTTATATTGCCTGTCACTTTTCATGTCCTTAACTAAAGAATGTCTTGTGTCTTATCCTTCCTATCAATTCCCACAAAAAATATTCTGGATCAGATTATTTTCCATAGTTCACTTAAAATTATGAGCAAGCGTAGCTTTTCCACACTACAACACTCACCTATATTGACTGTTGTGGTTCTGAATTCACCAAGGTCCCTTCCATCAGGCCGACAATTTTCTTTCTAAAATGATGAAATTTTTTTTAAAGCACTAAGTCAGACCTCACAATCTTATCAGCTTACAACAAAAATGCTTGCTTAAACCAAGCTCAAAGTTTAGTGTGCCATAAACCACAAAGTTTTTGTTGCATGTGCATAATTTCAATAAGAAAATAGCCTCTTCAAAGAATGTTTATATTCATATGCAAATATGTGCAGATTTAATGTAGGTTATCACTGACCAAGATCTAAAGCTTCATACATTCATAAATTGTACAATGCAAAAACCTCAAGCTGGACTCTGGAATCCAGAGTTCTAAAAATTTCTTAGAAATATATTAATATAATTTTTACTTATTTACAAGACCTAACCCACCTTTTAAGGTGCACTATCCTCCCAAGGAAGCTTACAATATCACAAAACTGTTACAATTATGGACATACATACATTTTAAAGCACTAAATGCAATGCATCATTAGAGGGGGGGTTTTAAAGGATCCAGCCATATATATCTTCCTAGAGAGGGAGTTGTGGGGCCACCAGTGAAAAAGCCTTATCCCTAGTACCAACCTAATGGTTCTTGCTCCTAATGAGAAGGAAGGACTCACTGGAGAAGAGCCTAATGCTGGGAACAATTGACGGTAAAAGAAGAAGGGGACGGCAGAGAATGAGGTGGCTAGTTGGAGTCACTGAAGCAGTTGGCATGAGCTTAAGTGGACTCCTGGGAATGGTGGAAGACAGGAAGGCCTGGAAGAATGTTGTCCATGGGGTCGCGATGGGTCAGACACAACTTCGCGACTAACAACAACATGAGCCAGGCAGTAGGGCTCAGGATTCTGATCTTCATGCTTGGGCAAGCTCATAGAGGTATAGCTCATCTTTGAAGGAAAATATTTTCAAACACTTTGGGGCTTTAAAGGCCAACTTAGAATTCTGAATTGAGCCTTGAGCATAACAGGCAGTTAGAATCATGTTTCCAGTTTCAAGAGATTTACTGCTTACTATATTTTAAAAAGCAGTGTACAAAGAAACACTAAACTACATCATAATATAGTATACTTTTCTATAAAACTATAAATTGTTAAAACCAGTACTCACAAAACTATAATTAACAAACTGGAAAGTACAATCAGTCGGGGAAGGGCTGGATAAAGGGAAGCGTCTTTAATTAGTACTTAAAACAAATCACAGTCTATATCTCCCAAATACTATAGGGATTCCATAAGTTGGCAATGAATTGCCAAGTGGAATTTCATGAATAAGTTCCACTTCCAGCTTATCACAAGGAAGCCATGTGCAGGTCATAGTACAAATAGCAAGGCCTCCTCTGATCTTTACTATCACACAGATGTAAATCCACCAGGAGACCCAATCCCAACCTGTTCAGGGCTTTAGATACCATCAGCAGGGCTCAGGGACATTTCCCCAAAGTCCACCTAAACCAAGAGCAAGCCACTAAAATAGCTTCCCTTCTCTGCCCAGAAATAAAAGAAAGCAATCACATATAAAACAGTGTAAAAATTGTTCGACATGCAAACAACTTCTGATATGTTACATATGTCTATCCTAGATATCCATTCCTGGGAAAAATAGCTGAATGGGATATATAAATGAGAAATTTTACAAGAAAAAATAGGAACAGCATGATATTTCACACAAGATATACACTGTACTCACTAAAAATCTTCTGTAATACTCCGAAGGTTCCACAGTTCTGAAACAAAATAAATTTAAAGTAAGGATAAAAGTCTTTACAAGCAGATCATCCAAATCTAACCTAGTTGAGTAAAGAGCTGTTCACAGCATATTCTTTGGAGCAACTTAGAAATTTGCATGAGGAGCCAGCATTAAACAATTCCATATGATAACAATGTCATAGGACATGTAGATATTGGACCTCACTGTGCAGACAGGACAATTTCAAATGTAATTATGCAAGATGGTGTGGTGAAAACTGGCACAGTGTTAGAGGACAACAAAAATAGATGTATGGAAAATAAATATTTATGAGAAGTTGAAGGAACTGAGTATGTTTACCTTGCTGTCATACACATGAAGGCAAAGATGTATTGTTTACAGCCTGAACCTGAAGGCAGTGGTCTTAAATCAGAGGAGAACCATTTGAATTGATGGCCAGGGACACTGCTGTTGCTGCGGCTTGCTGCTCCCCCATCTTGCCACCGGCGAGGCATCCCTTGGCGTGGGTGGCAGCTGCGCCAGGGCCAGGGGCTGATTGCGAAGGGGGGGCCCGGCACTTAACTCACCAGCCACGGCCAAGGGCAACGGCCTAAGGGTGTTAAGCTGTTTAGGGCCGTTCGGGGCTGGGCTGGGCCAGGGACTCTGTTTTTGTTGTTGGGTGCGTTGGAGAGTTTTAACTTAATAATATTGATTTATACCACGACTGAGTTGATTTTATTGTTGGTTTAATTGGTCATGGGTTTGCCTGGGGAGCGTGTGGCACCACCATTGGGGTGGTAATGGGCAGGGGAAGAAAGGGCGTTGGGGGTCTAACATGTCATCATAGAAGATGTCTTGTATCTATCCCCTCTTCTGGTTATTCCCTCAATTGAGGGTTTCAGGTAGTTTTATCAACTGCCTCTCGGGCGTGACGGTGCTGTTCCTGAATACTAGGTCGGTCCATAATAAAACATCCCTCATTCATGATTTAATTGTGGATGAAGGGACTGACCTGGCATGCATTACAGAGACCTGGGCAGAAACAGTGGGAGGGGGATCTTACCATCATTCAGCTGTCCCTGCCTGGGTATATGATCCAGCACCAGCCCGGGGGGGGGAGGGTCACCCTGGTTCATGGAGCTTCAATTTCCCTCACAGGACTTCCTGTCCCTGGAGCCAGGTCTAGAGTGTCTGTACCTGGTGGTGGGCGATCAAGACAGAGTAGAGACTCTGCTGGTATCCTGTGCACCCTTTTGCTCATCAGACTCCCTGCCTGAGCTGACGGAGATTGTCTCAGACCTGGTGTTGAGGACATCCTGGGGGACTTCAATCTCCGTGCTGAGACTGTTCTGACTGGGGCAGCTCAGGACTTCATGGCTTCCATGACAGCCATGAGGCTGTCTCAACATGTCGTTGGCCCAACCCATGATCCAGGTCATACTCTGACTTGGTTTTCTGGACAGGGCAGGTAGATGGTGATTTGGAAGTGAGAAATTTGTGTTTTGACTCCCTTGTCATGGTCAGATCGCTTCCTCATGAGGTTTGAGCTTGGGGCTGGCCTTTCCCTCTGTAAGCCGTCCAGAGACACATAGTGATCAGACAGGTTAGAAATATCTCAAATAAATAAATAAATAAATAAAATTTTCAGTTGATCATTTAAGAACTACTGACTGAAACAAAGAAAGAGAGTGAGTAAAAAGGGGCCTCCCAGGCCTTAGCCTGATCCCCGGCTCCAGCTGGCTCCACTCATGAAATACCTGCCATGTGCATGTCCGGCCTATCCTTGAACACCCTCACTCATGGGGCTTCAATTACCTCCTGCGGAAGCTCATTTCATACCCTAGTGGTCTTAACTGTCAGGAAATACTTCCTGGCATCCAAATCAAACCTTTGTTTGCTGAGTTTTGCTTCACTGGAACACATCCTGCCCTGTGGGACCAGGGGAAAACAGGTCTCGACCTATCTCTGCATGGCAACTCCTCACATACCTATAAGTCGCCAAGAGATCCCCTTGGAATCTCCTCTTCTCCAGGCTTAAAAGACCCAGTTCTCTCAGTCTCACTTCCTATGGCTTCCCCCACAATCTGGCCACCATTCTTACGGTCCTATGCTGCACCGATTCTAACCTGGCTATACTCTTCCTGCAATGTGGAGCCCAGAACTGAACACAATACTCCAGTTGTGGATGCACTAGAGTCGTATAGAGTGGCAGTAATACCTCTCTTGATCTAGAAGCCACGCTTCTTGCCATTCATCCAAGGTTGACATTCAGACAGTTGATTGCTGTGTAACACTGCTGACTCATGCTTAGCCTGCAGTCAACCAGTGCCTCCATATCCCTTTCACAAGTGCTGCTCTCCAGCCACTTGTCCCCTAACCTGTACTTATGACACCCATTCCTTTGCCCCAAGTGCTAGACCATTGTCCCCCACCCACTTATATAATCTGTCCAGATCCTTCTGGATCCAGAGTACCTGCTCCTCAGTTGAGGCCACCACCCCCATTTTAGTATTGTCTGCAAATTTGGTCAAGAGACTGGTCACCCACTCTTCCAGGTCATTGATGAAAAGACTGAACAGGATCAGTCCCAGGACAGAGCCCTGGAGAACCCCATTCATCACCGGCCACTCATCACCGGCTGATGATTCCCCACAAATAGTTACCCTCTGCTTTCAGTCTGTCAAACATGCCCTGATCCATTGGACAGTGCATCGGTCTATCCCAAAACTCCTCAATTTCTCAACTAGGATATCATGCGGCACTTGCTGTAATCCAGGTAAACCACATCCACTGTGTCCCCTCCATCTAGCCACCTCGAAACCTTGTCATAGAATTTCACAAGGTTCTTCTGGCAGGACCTGTTTTTGCGGAAGCCTTGGTTAGGATTTCTAGATCTCTCCCTGTTAGGAGCCTCCCCATCATCTCTGTTGGGGATTTCTTGCTTAATATCCAGATGTCCTGCAGAAGATCCAGGATGATCTTGATAAACTTGAACACTGGGCTGAAAGCAACAGAATGACATTCAATAGGGACAAGTGCCAAGTCCTCCACCTAGGAAGAAGAAACCAAATGCATAGATAGAAGATGGGGAATATGTGACTCAACAGAACTGAAAAAGAAAAAGATCTCGGAGTAATTGTAGACAATAGGCAAAATATGAACCAACAATGCGATGCAGCTGCCAAAAGGGCAAATGCTATTTTGGGATGTATTAACAGAAACATTACTTCCAAATCACAGAAAGTAGTAGTTCCTCTATACTCCTCACTAGTCAGACCTCATCTGGAATACTGTGTCTAGTTCTGGGCACCAAGACTTAAGAAAGATGCAGAAAAACTAGAAAGGGTCCAGAAGAAGGCAACAAAAATGATTTCAGGATTTGGAAACACTGCCCTGAGAGGAGAGACTGAGAGAACTGGGCATGTTTAGCCTTGAGAAGATTGAGGGGGGACATGATATCCCTCTATAAGTACCTCAAAGGCGGTCACAAAGAGGAAGGTCAAGATCTCTTCTTGCTGATACCAGAGTGTAGGACACGGAATAATCAATTCAAGTTGCAACGACCCAGATTCAGGCTAGACATCAAGAAAAGCTTGCTCATTGTCAGAGCTATAGTGGAACCAGCTGCCTAGAGAGCTGATGGGCTGTTCCACACTAAAGACATTGAAAAAGAAACTGGATAGGCATTTGAGTGGAATGGTGGAACTTGGTGTGCTGTAACAGCAGGGGGTTGGACCTGATGGTCTTCCTGGCCCCTTCCAACTCTGCTATTCTATGATTCTATGAATGGTGGTCCAACACATCTGGAGGGCCTTACGTTGGAGAAGGATGCCATAATTTGACTTTTTTTTACATAGGGGTAGCTATGTTAGCCTGTTGCAACTTCTGATGAAGCGTTCGCAAAAACTTATACCAGAACAAATCTGTCTTTCAGGGTGCCCTATGCTTCTTTTTTGAGAATGTGTAAAATGGTCCTAAGCCATATCACACCACTGCATGGCAATTCATTGGAATCAGGGATACTAGTAAGGATGAGCATGACCTCTCCCCTTATGAAGCATAGTTGTGACATGATCTTCTCAGTTACAGCTTTTTAAGGTCTTTCTTCCAAAGACCATATTTAATTCAGTTAAGGAGAGGATGCTAATGTCTCTTCAAAGCCTACCAACTAAGGATAGATCCAGCAGCAGGATAGATTCTTAGTGCCCAGCCATGTACCTCTGAAACTTAGAACAGACAGTGGGAAAAGCTTTTTGTAAGTCTTGCTTGACCAGTGTGCTAGCCTGAAACAGAAGGCTGGACTATGCAGATTTTCCACCTGATCCAGCAGTTTATTTCTTGGCGATTAGGACTGACAAGTCTATTTAACCTAATCCTCCATGAATTTGGTTGATCCTCTTTCAAAGTAATCTGAGTCAGTGGCCATTAAGCATCCTCGATCAAAAGATCCATCAGTTTAGCAATGCATATATTTCAACCAAAGTATTTAACTTTCATCTTCAGTATCTGGCTTTCTAAAGAGCAGTCAGGGTTGATCTCAAATACTTTGGCCACCTAATGAGAAGAAAGGACTCACTGGAGAAGAGCCTAATGCTGGGAACAACTGATGGCAAAAGAAGAAGGGGACGGCAGAGGATGAGGTGGCTGGATGGAGTCACTGAAGCAGTTGGTGTGAGCTTAAGTGGACTCCGGGGGATGGTGGAGGACAGGAAAGCCTGGAGGAATGTCGTCCATGGGGTCGCGATGGGTCGGACACGACTTCGCAACTAACATAACATAATATTTCAACCATTCTACAAGCACTTCCTTCAGTCTCAGCCATCAACTTTCCGTGGAGCAGCAAATTCTACAAAGTAATGCCCTAAACTAGGAGACGGACAGCTGAGGCCCTCAGATATTTTATACTGCTCCTCCTAGAAATCTCTTACTATTGGCTACATTCAGTGTGGTTTACGGGAGTTGAATTCTAAAGATCTGGCGGGCGCCGGCATCAACCGACCTACTGCTGCTGAATATTCGGATTATCATTGGTTTATTTCACGCGTTAAAACCTGGAAGAAACCTAGCTCGGAAAACATTGTTGTCGCAAGACTCAGCCTCACCGAGATGAAGCGTGAAGAGAAGCCCTTCCCTCTTAGAACTGCAAATTCTCATCCCGACGAAGCCGCGCTCGCCCTTCCGCCTGCCCGAGCCCTTATTCCGGAGCATCAGATCTGTGCGAGGCCAGGATGCGGTCTGCACGCGGGAAGTACGCGCTAGCTCAGTATTCCACCCAGCACGTTTACACAGGCCCGCCGCTGGCGATCCAGTTTGGCCAGGTGGTCCTGCTACGGAGGGAACGCCTGGCCCACCACAGTCTCTCAAGAAGGTCAAGGGCCTAGCGGGGAAGCCTCACTAACCTGAACCCACCGGCGGCCGCCGCCATCATCTTTGCAGTCTCTTCTTCCTCTGGAACCCGATAGACCGCCCAGCCGCAGAGGGCGCTAAGAAGTTGAAAATCGGCAAAAATGGAAAAGCCTGCATTGGCTGTCACTATGTTATGAGCCAGTGCAGAAATAAGAAAAATAGAATGGACCATCTCACCTCAAGAATAATGTTTATTCTTATTTTAAACTTTTTAAAAATTGCCTTACCTATGCAAACACGCATCGTTATTTTACCCATATTGCAGTCTGGGGGACTGTGGTTGAAGGAGCAAGGCAGATGATAGCTCTAAAAGTATCCAACGCTAATATTGCATCAAGGATACTTCGGATTTTCTGCCAAAAGTCCTTTATACGGAACACCTTTTGCTTGTAGTAAACATCATGCTTGCAGTGCCACTTTAGATCCACGCCGAATTCATACCATTCAGTTGAATACCGAAGCTTTGTACTCCATTGGCTTGCATATAGAAAAATGCCACTTTAAAAAAGCTTTCAATTTTTAACACTTTATGAGACCTGATTGCCTTTGTTGGTGCCCCAGCGCACCTACGCCGAACTCTATAAAAATATCAAGTGCACCTCTGCGACTTGCAATTCAAGGCAGTCGGTCCTATGGCTTTGTTTCATAGGTCTATGAGAAAATCATCCTGGCCAATGGCGGCGCTTAGTTCAACCCCGGAAGTTCGCGCTGTAATTTTCTCCTGTCTCTTGGCGGTACTCTTCCGTCTCCGTGTCTCCGCGAGCTTCGGACGGGTTGCGTGCGTTCAAGCGGGTCAGAGAAGTGTTGCTCCGGTGGAAGATGGAGGTGGTGTGGCTGGTCGAGGGGCTGGTGGCACTCGCCGTCGCAGGGCTGGGACTGGTGAGAGCGGGACGGGGGCTTGGTCTTTAAAGCTTCCCCTTGGCCAAGATTAGCAAGCGCTTTCACTGCTTGGTCTTCTTTCTCACCACATAGCAGCCACTCTTCTTCGCTCATCGCCTTCTCTCTGCCACCATCATGCTGTGTGAGCCAGGACACGGGCCTGGAACATTTTTCAGCATTTCAAACAATCGGCCATGGACCAAGTGAAGAGTGGCAAGAGAACTGAGTGCCGCTACGCGTATGCAGTGTTCTTCCTTCATGGCCGAGTAACCCATCACGATTGCATTCGGCTGAGAAAGTTTGCTTTTCAGGCAGATTCGTGCCCTGGTCCCTCTCAGATTTCACAACTGAAGTCTATTAAGTGGGTAACTAGGGGATACCTTTAGACTGTCTACCCAGCAATTTGGGAAAGAGGTGAGCAGCACTGAAGGAAGAGCTGTTCCTTCAGGGCTTGTCTTTTCATGGTGCTTCAGGTGCCTTGATGGGGCAGCTTCTGACTTGGCCCAGCTTCCCTACCTCCCATCCAAGGTGCAGAACTTTGGGGAAGGTCCTCAGCAGGTAAGATCCAGTCCGTGAGGCAAATGTGCCCCACCGCTGATACAGCAGATCATGTTTTTGTTTATATAGCTATGTAATACCAGTGTGCATAGTAGTTTACAGTGTAGCATAATCTGGCTCATGGTGCTTGCTGCTTCAATTTCTCATGTGCTTTTTGTATCCTGTTAATCTGAATATGGTTCCTGAGCTGTGTTTTCAGTCCTGCTAAGTGTTTGATAATGTTCTGGTTTTTAAAGACCCAGGCAGAAAGCAAAGCAAAGGTTTATTGGGTCCCTGGTGACTCATAATGAGGGCCTGATCTAAGTGACTTGTGCCAATATCTCAAGGCTTTGATGCATTTCATAACTGCTGCAAGAGCTTAGGAACATTGAATTGTGATAAATTCTATATTTTGGTTAAGATAGATTTCTCCCCCCTTCCCCAGCACCCATTTGTATACAACTCCAGATCTCTTGCTTGCCAACTGACTTTCCTTTCAATTGAACTCCTTTCTAATCTTAAAATAAATGCTTTTCTCCCTGTAAAATGCTATGATGAAAGTATTATGTAACTCTCAACTGTATTTTTCCTTTTTCATGTTCCTTCCAGATTGCTGTGATTGCACACGTAACTGCAGCAAAGTTGCCAAACCTTAGTAGACATGAAACAGAAAAGTTCTTTTTGAATGCAGAAAATAAGAAGGAAACTGTCCCAAGCATCCATGACCCCCCAACACGTGAACTTTCTGTAGTTGTGCCTTCATATAATGAGGAAGAACGGTGTAAGACTAAACCCTTGTTTTTCTTGAGTGTGTATTTATAACCCTGTGTTTTGCCTTGTCTGTTTTTTACCAATGCTATTTTAATCACATCAGATCTCTGTTTTCTCCCTTTTTCTTGCAGTACCATCAATGATGAATGAAACTTTAGATTATCTAGAGAAAAGACAGGTATTTATAAACTTACATTCAGTTGCCATATAATGATTAATGAAAATATAATCAACATTTTTATACTTTTCCCTTTTTATGGTAAAATAAGATATGATACTAGGCCAAATGCACAAGTATTCTTCTTTTCTATAGAAGAAAGATCCTGAGTTCACATATGAAGTCATAGTGGTTGATGATGGCAGCAGAGATCAGACAACAAAGGTAGGAAAAACAGTTGCATCCTGTCAGTTCTAGCTATGATGTCAACAACATCTGTTACTTTTGGGGAAAAAACTTCTAATTTTTCTAGAAATGTTTGGAAGCATGATGCCAGTAAGGTATACAGACCAGATACAGAGAAGCTTGTACTTTCTACTTAACTTTGTTAAGTTACTACTGTTATTTGGAGAGACTGACATAAGACCTTCTCATATGTGTGCCATTAAGATAAGCTAGGTTGGCATGCAAAAAAGATGTTACTACCTCAAACAATGGTATTTAATTTATGTATTATCCACCTTGTTCAAGTTCTACCAAATAATGGTTTCTCTAAAATTAAGTTTAGGTATCAAATACATTGGTCTTATGTGTGTAATTGTAAAATCTTAACTAGTGTAAATTGTAAAACTGTTCAGTAGTGGGATTTTCTTAATATCAGACTGCATTTTGGCACAAGTTTGACCTGTCTTTCTATGAAATTTCTGTACTGCAATAATCTGCATTTAATACAGATTATTGCAGATTTTGTATTATTTTTCAATGCAGATTTTGTATTATTTTGTATGATGAACATAAATGCGAACAAAGACTAGCATTAAATTCTTTTGTGTAATTAGTGTTATTTTATTCCACTTTACTGCCCCTGTAGGTTGCACTGAACTATGCTAAAAAATATGGTAATGACAAAGTGAGAATCCTCACTCTGGTGAAGAATCGTGGAAAGGGGGGAGCTGTCAGGATGGTAATAAAGTTATCCTTCCTTTGTGCTTTTAGCAGTCAAGTAGTTTTAAAATAAAATTGAAGAAGACTGAGTACACTGTGTCATACTGATACTGGCATCTTCTGTGAATTTCTGTATGTAAGAAGATCCTATAGTGATCTTTTCTATAAGATGGGACACATCTATCTGCCAAATTTAAGCAGGCATGTTTATGTCTCTGTATTGGGAATCCATTTAATTTGGTTCATAAAGTATTGTTAATTGTCCTGAGATTTTGGGAACAAGCAGAGTAAAAATAAAAATTAATATAAATAAAAGTAACAAATAGTTTACATTTTCTGGCTACTTTTGAACCATTCTGCATTTTGTTCCTCCTACCCACCCGCAATGTATTCAGGTTGTCCATTTGGCAGGAATGTGAAGAATGGGTGTGTTTCCCAACAGGAGGCCTCTGGGAGCCACAGTGGGGTTGGTCCATTGCCTTTTCAGAACATGTGTGACATCCCTCAGTCCAGCAGATGTCTGTGCACATCTTCCTTGTGATCTGCATCTGGGCCCTATTCAAATGCGTGGGCACATCTCTGTCAGGGGCCATTGATTACTGTGCAGAACAACAGGCAAGCAGGGGCCAGGACTTTCCATTCAAAATCTAGAGGAAGCCTAATGAAGTCAGCTAATATTGTTTCAGCTGGGTCTGTCAAAAGTGAAGTCTGAAGTCTTGCAGGAAAATCTCATGAACTTCAAATACAAAGCTATACATTATTCCTACTGATAGGGTGTATTCTGTTCACGAGGGAAAAAAATACTCATGGCAGATGCTGATGGAGCCACAAAATTTGAAGATATTGAAAAATTAGAAAAAGGACTTGAGAGTCTCCAGCCATGGCCTGTGAGTTTCATTTATTTATTATATTTATATCTCGCCATAGTTGGATGAGTGTGTATATACTGGTTTGTAAATTTCTATGTTTGCATGTCTGTTTGTCGAGCTACTTCTTAACATATTCAAATATAGAAAGGAAAATGTAGAATAGAACAAAAACTAATATAAACAGAACAGACTAAAATAAACAAAATAGACAAAGATGCCAAGGAAATTTTAAATGAATACAACCTATATATTGCGACCTCCAAAACTAACTCTCTTACTATCTTTCCACATTCTATGAGAGTTTGCAAAAAAGAAATCATTAATCTATGCAACAACAGATTTTCTAATCAGTGTTCAAATTCTACTGCTTTTTCTTTTCCAAACTCCCCTGAACCTCCATTAGTCATGCTGAGCACAATAAAATTTTCATTTTTCATTACATTCTTCTAACAGTCTTTTATTTACATAGTTGCTTTGCCATCACTGCATAATCTGCCAATTTATTTCTCTGCTCTTCAACGGCTGGCAGTTCTGGTGATTTCCATTTGGAAGCTATTGTGATTCTTGCTGCCATTGTCAAATACTTAAATAACTCTGACATGTTTTTTAAAAGGGTCTCTGGGACGATATTCAAAAGCATGTTCTGGGGACTTGAAGAAAAAGTTCAAAATTAAGTTTCCTATATTTCTGTATGTATCAATTTCCAAAATTTGTGTTATTCCACAAGTCCACCACATATAATAGAAAGTCCCATCCACCCTGTTGCAGTTCCAACATTTTCCATTATAATTCTTATCTGTTTTTCCAATATCTTTTGGAATAATGTACCCCTGATAAAACATACCAATTTTCTCTTAATGCTTGCCTAACGTTGAATTTAATATCTTTCTTCCAAAGACCTTCCCACTGACACAGTGATATTTCTTCACCAAGGTTCTGCTTCCAGATTGTCATATGTTTCTTATCTTGATGGCTTTCAGTATCATAGTATAATAACAGTTTGTAAAGTCTTCCCAATAGATGATCATTCTGCTGTATAATCAACTTTTCAAAATCTGTGAGATCTCTTAAGGTGCATTCTCCTGGTTGTATTTCCCCTTTCATTCTTGAAATCAGTTGATGATTAAGGAGCCACTGTATGTTTTTCCCTTCATCTTTCAGTTGCTGCCAAGTTTTAACTTGTCTTGATTGATGAATAACATCTTGATATGTTATAAGACTGTTATTTCTCCTTGACTATTTTCCATATGCTTCGACCAGGGACATCAAGGGGGAGGTTGGAGGTCTAATTTTTTTCCTCATGGAATACCAATTTTTATTAAACTATCTCTTAGCACATGGTTGTTGTTTGTGATTAGAGCCTTCTTAAGCAAAGCTACTTCTATATGATGTAGAGATGCTGCTATGTGTGGTCATTTTGCTTCTTAAAATTGAGGGCACACTCTAGAGAAAGGTGGACACATTGTATTTCCCACTTTTTGTTTTGTTTTTGTTTTGAGTGCTTCCAAGGTGCAATGATGCATTCTGCAGAGACATTTGTAGTTTTGGCTTGGTGCTGAATATGCCTGCCATTCACCAGTGAGGAAGATGTCCATACTTAGTTCTTTGAGCTTAGGTTATAATAGACAATGTGATCGGTCTCAGATGCTAACAAATAATGGCCAACATCCTTATTTTCTGCTTTTCTTTTCTGTTACTGTTTTCATGTCTCTTCATCTCAAGCAGGGAGAGGTTGTTGGCTCTCCCACAGTAGAGGCATTCAAGATGCAGCTGGACAGCCATCTGAGAGGGATGGTTTAACATGGAATCCTGCACCCAGCAGGGAGCTGGACTCATTTGCCTTTTTGGTCCCTTCCAACCCTACTATGATACTGTTCAATGAACAAATTTTATTCCTCATTGTACTGTTTTTAAGTTCAGAGCAGAACATTTACACTACTTGAATAAGATTCCTGACCTTGTGAAGGTACAATTTGGATGCCAGGAAGCACTTCCTGACAGTTAGAACCCCTAGGGTATGCAATGGGGTTCCGCAGGAGGTGGTTGAAGCCCCATCGGTGAGGGTATTCAAGGATAGGCTGGACATGCACATGGAAGGCATGTCATAAGTGGAGCCAGCTGGATCCAGGGGTCAGACTAGATGGCCTGGGAGACCCATTCTGACTCACTCTGTTCCTGTGTTTCTAATTAGTACTGTGATTCTTACTAGACTAATTACGTCTCTGAACCTTCATTTGTCAGGCATTACCTATTTTAATACATAACTAGATTTTGGTGTGTCTTGTTAATTCATTTGGATTAATTAAATATCTTCTCTAAAGACATACTAATGGCCTATTATTCTAGAGATTAGTTGCATATAGAAACCTAATTTGAAGAGACCATCATTTAATCACTGATTTGTATATTTTTCTTAATGGTTGTTAAAGTACTTTTTCCCTTTAGAAGCAGATGGCTATTGCGTGTGGCTCTCGAGCTCACTTAGAAGAAGACTCAATAGCACAGGTAAGCTTTTTTGGATATTTTTTCTTCTGCATAACCTATCCAACTGCTGCATCCTTATAAAAGTAGTAAAAACATACTATACTTTTTGAGGTCAACTCTTGTCCTCCTATGATGTGCATGATTTATTTGTGAATATGAGATTAGGTTGCAGAACCAAAGTGCCTTTGCTGCATGTACCAACAAACCCTCATTAGCCATGGAGACATTATTATTGTGTATTGGGTATTATTTAAAAACGTATGGCATATGTTACATCAGAGAGCAGGAGCTCTTTCCAGCCCAAGGGCTGAATTCCATTTTAAAGACGTTCTCATGGACCATACTGCAATGGTAAGTGGAGACAAAGGCAAAAGGGTTTGGGCCAAAAAACCAAAATATTCCAGCATCTTTCAGCTTAAAAGTCTTGCTACTAATCATTAAGCCTTAGGCGAGACAGTTCAGCCTTTTAAAATGGAGGGAAAACAGCACAAATGTCAGGAGATTGGTGGTTGGAGGAAACAGCATAGGGCCAAGGAAAAGTGTGTGTCCTTCAAGAGAAACTGAACAGGTTTTATTTGGCTCCCAAACAGCCAGATTTTGTCTGTATGCTCTGAGGTTCTATAACCCTGTTCTATAGTTTTTGCCTTGAAGGGTTATGTATTCATATACCAGTAGCAGTTATTTTAAAATAAAACGATAATAAAATGTCTCATGGACCAATCGAAAAATGTCAATGGGAAATATTTATAATTCTTTGGGGATTTGGCAATCACTGAGAGGATTTTTTTAGCATTGCATGGCATCTAAGTAGTATAAAGATAAATAAAGGAAGATTGGTGTATTTTGGTTTTGTTAGCTTTCACTAAAACCAAAATAGTAATGGGGTGAACAAGAAAGGTAACACTCATGGATCAAGAAATCAAAGATTCTGTTAATCTTGTCCTTGACTGCTTAAAAGGAAGCACCACTTTGTTAAATGACAGTAAGTATGATTAAGATGGCAGCATACATTTTCTAGAGGTTCAGAAAATCCAGTAACCTGTTTTGAATAACTCCTTTCTAAGGATAAAACTAATTCTTTGGCTGAATCATTCAGAAACAGCAGTCAAAATAAAAAGAAGACTCTGCAGTTCAGAATATTAATGGTTCTTCAAAAGAGCACATGTCTAGGTGGCAGTCTACTAGGGACTAATGGAGTTCCTTCATCAGCTGAGGGTTGAAGTAAATGACGTTTGAGAAACATTTCAATACCTTAATTCCCCAAAAATCTGTTCTGTACCGTATCACAAGTGGAGAACAAGTATACAGGATACCTTGAATTACAAAATATAATTAAAGGACATGTTCTACAGGTCTCTAATAGTCTGAGTCCTTTTCTCCCTCTCATAATCATGTTAATACATATTATTGTGCACTTTCTACTGGTTGTACTCCCTTGACTATTTTTGAGGTGGAGATCGCTAGAGACAGACCACTTTCATCATAGCAGAGTGGGCCTATCAAGTGGAGCAAAAGAGAAGATTTTACTGTGAATATACATCCTTTGAAAAAGTATAATCCTAAAAATATGCTAGAAAAAAATAATAGAGTCTCTCTTCTGTATAACTTTTTGGAAGCTCTTTTTTCTTGTAGACTTCTTGTTCTCTCCCCCATTTGAATCAAGATCCATTCTAAATATTGGCCATGATATCTGCATCATACTACATGTACATAACAGTACCCATAGAAGCTATGATGAATCCTGCTTTTTCTTTTCATTTAAAACATATGTCACAAAAATATAACTGATAGAGCTTTGGTGAATATGATGAACAGGGAAATAGGAATGCCCCTGAACATGCTTAATTAGTTCCTTTAGTACAAACTGCTAATATTTTGCCTTTTCTTCTGCAGCGGTCATACTTTCGAACACTTCTCATGTACGGATTCCACTTTCTAGTATGGTTCCTTTGTGTTAAGGAAATCAAAGACACACAATGTGGTTTTAAATTACTAACCCGAGAGGCTGCTTTTCTGACTTTTTCCACTCTTCATATAGAGCGATGGTAGGTTCAGCTTCCTCAATCCTTATTTGCTCTATTGGAAATGAAATTGCAACAAATAAGAATGTTGTTTCAGGAGGATTTCCAGTGGTGCATATTCTTTTGCGGCATGGAACATAGCCATGTATGCCATGTACAGTATTTCCAGGTGCAAGAGAGCCCTTTTGAGCAATGTGCAAAGGCTTTGGTTTGGTTTCATTTTGAACTCAAGAGTCTTCACTTGCCTTGCAGGGGTTTTTCAGATTAGACGTAGAAAGAGACAACAAAAGGGAGAAGTGTGTAATAAAGGAAGAATGAGACAGAAATGTCAAATGATGAATGACAGGACATACAGTGCCTTGAAAAAATATCCATCTTCCTTTGTTTTTTCCACATTTTGTTGTTTTGCGATCTGGAACTGAAATTGATTTAATTGGCATTCTTACCACCTAATGTACATAAGTTACTTAACATTGTAAAATTGCAACATATTTTTTGTATTTTATTTTATACTATATAAATTATTGAAAAATTATTACTGTGTTGTAAACTGCCCAGAGAGCTTCAGCTACCAGGCTGTATAGAAATGAAAAAAATACACATTGTGGCACAAAAGTAAACATACAATTATAAAATCGTATGAAGGCCAGAGGGCCATCATGTCCAGTCTCTTGCTTAGTGCAGGACTTCAGGTTAAACCATCCCTCTCTTATGGCTGTCCAGTTGCATCTTGAAGGCTTCTAGTGTATGAGAGCCCACAGCCTCCTTAGGTCATTGGTTCCGTTGTCATACTGCTCTAACAGCCAGGAGGTTCTTCCTGATGTTCAGCTGGAACTTGGTTTCCTCTAACTTGAGCCCATTATTCCATGTCTTGCACTCTGGGATGAACAAGAAGAGAGCCTGCCCTTGAAGAGTGCTATCGTATCTCCCCTCGGTCCTCTCTTCTCAAGGCTAAATATGTCCAGCTCTCCTCATAGGGCTTTGTTTCCAGTCCCTGGATCACCCTGTTGTCCTCCTCTGAACCCATTCCAGCTTTTCTGCACCTTTCTTGAGCTGTAGTTCCCAGAGCTGGACACAGTGCTCCAGATGAAGCCTAACCAATGCTGAGTAAAAAGGAACTAGTACTCCAATTGATTTGGAAGTGATACTTCTATTAATGCAGCCTAAAATAGCATGTATCCTTTTTGCAGCCACATCACATTGTTCACTCATATTCAGTTTATCATCTGCAATAATTCCTTCTCACTTGCAGTATTGTTGAGCCAAGTTTTCCCCATCTTATAACTATGCATTTGGTTTATTTTCCCTGGGTGCAGAACTTGGTATTTTGTCCCTATTGATTTTCACTGTGTTGTTTTCAGTCTAATGCTCCAACCTGTCAAAATCACCTTGGATCTTGCTTCTGTCTTCCAGGGCATTAGCTATCCCACTCACTTTTGTGTCATCTATAAATTTGTGATATGCTCCCTGCACTTCCTTATTCAAGTCAGTAATAAAAATGTTGAAGAGCACTGGGCCCAGGACTGAACCCTGCAGTGCCCCACTTGTCACCTTTCCCCCGTCTGAGAACATGCCATTGATGAGCACTGTTTGAGTCCGATTCTGTAACTGACTGGATCCACCCAACTCTTGTTTCATCTAGCCCAGTTTCGGCTAGTTTGCAGGTCAGGGGGCACTATGTCAAAAGCTTTGGTCAAGATAAATTATGTTTGTTTGTTTGTTTGTTTCCCATGCTCCAGCAATTAGTATTCAGGGATTTCCAGGTTATGGATGTCTGAGTTAAGAACAGCCCATATTTTCAAATGAACTGCCATAATGCCTATTAATTTAAAAATACTACTGCAGAAAATCCTAGGAAGTGAAAGAGGAGGGAGGGAGGCAGGCCTCCAAAACATGCCTTTTGGCCTCATCCTTCCATGGTGGGAAATCTCTCTGGCATTTCCTTGCTGTAAAGAAGAGGCATTGGTGAGTTTGGATGGGTGGGGAGCTAAAAATATTCATGGTTTTTCCACTTGTGCAGAGGTCCTGCACCCCTAACATCAGTGAATGTGGAGGGCCAACTATACATGATCTGACTTGCACATAAATTCAACTTAAAGAAAAATGTCCATTTCCCGAGGAATGGAACTCATTTATAACCTGGGGACTGCCTGTATAGATATCAAAGACCATGTGCTTGATACTCTAGCTTAAGGGGGAAAGAGAGAGAAAATAGGTACATCCCCCTTGACTTTCCACTGCTAAACTCCTGCTCGCTCTGACCACTTGCTCTCTGGGAGCTTGGTTGCTTGCATCCAAGGGTCCCTTGAAGAGTTGGGGTAGATTCCTCTAAACTGCTCAACTAGGAATCAGAAAGCAGAATGAATCTCTCCACTCACATAGCTGCTGATACTAATCAGGCCACACCCCTTCAGTTGCAGCTTTCAGGAGCACACAGTCCCTTGGAAGAGACTGTTCCTGGTATACTCCAGACCCTTCATTTTTTTTTTGGCTCCATCTTTGCCTCCTCTTCCACTACAGTTAGACTCTTGTTTGCTCTTCCTGTTCCCTCTCTCTGATAGCTTGCTCTTTGGGAGCTTGCTTGGCTGTATTCAAGAGTCCTTAAACTCTAAGCAGTAACGGAGTGGCACTTGTTGGTTGCGTAAGTGTTCTCCTGCTTTGCTGTGGCAATCCTAAAGAAACTCTAGTGCAACCCACTGCCTGCAGAAGTAACATACAATTGCATGGATTCCCAAACAGCATCATATGCTGGGCCTTACTAAAACAGATATATTTAATCTGAGATCATGCAGAACTGGAATTGTGGATACCCACTTGGATACACAAGCGGATTCCAATCAGCTATTTAACAGTATGTGACTTTAAGCCAGTGTGTTGCACCAGAGCATAAAGAAAGTTGAATATCTATGTCATCAACAAGTGCCAGTTTGTTTTTGCTTGCTTCACTATTGTGCCAGAATATGTTGGATAATAAATTCAGGATGAAGTTGTGCTGAAGACCAATCAGTTTTGGATTATAAAAAAATTGCAGACTGTGAACATTACCTGGAGCACCATTCATTCATTCATTTCGTAGGACATTGGTACAATTAGCCAGAAAGTCTACAGTGCTAATGCAGTTTGGCTGCCTAAGCACCTGGTACCTGGAGCACCATTAGATTATGAAATAGAAAGAATATAGCTTAACCATGCCCCTGCCTAGAGAAGACCATCAACCCAAAACTCAGGTAAGGCTGGCATAGCCAGAGAAGCAACCAAGAGGCCAATGTAACTTCTGAAGATGAAGGAACTGTCTTTGGGACATCCATCTCCCAGGTGGTCCAGGAAGCTGGACTTTATGGAAGAGTGGTGGGGGAAAAGCCATTGCTGAAACAAATCCATACCAAAGTCCATTTGGAATTTGTAGAAAGGCATGTGGGAGGCACAGCAACTCTCAGGTCTGATGAGACCAAAGCTGAACTTCTGGTGCTTACTGCAAAAGGCTGTGTGCGCTACCAAACAAAACATGCTTCTTATCCTGAGAAAACCATTCCCACACTGAAGCATGGCGGTGACAGTATCAGGTTGTGGGAGTACTTTTCTCAACATGTATTTGGAAACTAGGTTGGGTTGAGGGCAGGGTGAATAGAGCCAAATATAGGGCAATTCTAGAGGAAACCTTGTTCACCAGGACTCTGGGATAGGGGCAGAGGTTCAGCAGGACAGTGACCTTGAAACAGCCACTGTAGTGGTTTAAAAACAAGAAACCGAGTATCTTACAATAGCCTAATCAAATCCCAAGCCTCAATCCAATTGAGAATTTGTAACAAGACATGAAAGTTGCTTTTCACCAACAGTTCCCATCCAACCTGACAGAGCTAGAGCAGCTTTGCGAAGAAGAATGGGCAAAAATTATAGGATCCAGGTGGGCAGAGCTGATGGAGACTTATCCAAGAAGACTTGCAGCTTTACTTGCTGCTAAAGGTGCTTCTACTGAGTATTGACTTGGAGTGAATAGCTATGAATCCAGCACCTTTTGCAACTTTATGGTGTTGAGTACCTTGTGTGCATCAAGTGGGAACAATGCCAATTCAACTTCATTTCCAGAGTGTAACACAACAATCTAGAAAAGATAACGTGGGTTCAGTATTTCTGGAAGGCGCTGTATAGTTTCTTATAGACAGCATTTTGGGGATAAGGGCAGTAGGTTGAAGCAGTTTTGCGGAAAGTACATCTGTGATAATGTTTTAAAGAAAGGGAGAAGGCACAGTGTGGGAGTTAATGAAGTGAGGTCCAGCCTGAAAATAAGGGCAGTTAGGAGAAATGGGCCACTGTTTTAGGAAATGTGCCTTTTTATTATGTATGCAAATAGTTGCTGCTTTAGAAAGGAGGAAGAACAAGAGATACTAAAACCCTCCTCCTCCTCCTCCTCCTCCTGTTTCACTAACATGAATGTAGTGATTCATAGTAACATGTGTACCATTATCACATTTATACCATTGCTTTGCTGTGCTCAGAAGCAACTCAGTATTACAGGTCTATTGCAGATACTTTGGTGGGACTTCAGTACTGAGTATTCATTCTGCTGTTCTGTTGCAGGGCGTTTGATGTGGAACTTCTTTATATAGCTCAGTGTTCTAACATACCAATAGCAGAGGTTGCTGTCAACTGGACAGAAATTGAAGGTCAGTTATTGTTGCTCTTTTTTGTCAATGCAGATTTTTCAGAAACCAGTTAGCTGAATTCCTCAGATGGTCTTCTGTATATTTAACATTTCTTATATCACCCTCCCCCCACTAATCTTCCAGTGAAAGCACCAAACAGTGAGGATCATTACCTCCACCAAGCAAACCTTTCACATGCTTTCTCCTGCCTGCCAGGCTTCTAGTATGTTCCCACCATGTCAGTACATTCTATATACAGTTTTCCTTTGAATCTACCCTGGCTTATTTTTCCTCACATTTCCAGCTACTTTTCACTGGTCCTGGATAGGGATTAGACTGCCAAAGTGTGACCTCTTCCTTCCAAGATATGCTGCAGTCAGGCAGGAGTTCTGTGTCTCTTTTTTCATTAGCAGAAAAAACATGTTACCTCTCTTCTCTTTACATGGCAACCGGGTTCACAACACAACAGCCCATCATGGATGACAAGCCATCATCATTTTGTAGGAGCTGTCACTGGTTTGTCACCCTCAACTTTTTTTTTAGCACTAGAAATTATTTCTATTTTACATTTACATCCTAACTTTTCTTCCAAGAAACCCAAGGTGACAAACATGAACTTTTTCCTGTTCAGGTTACCCAGAGAGCTTGATAGCCTGGTATCTCAAGTCTCAGTCCAGCACTCTGAACACTACAACCATCCACTAAAATTGTGCCATTTTCCAATTTTATTTGAACTTGTGCAAAACTATGATTTCTTTGAAAAACCCTACCCATGAATTTTTGAAAGGGGCATATGCATTCATGCCTGTCAAAAAGCACAGGAGCAACAGTAACAGCTAGCTGTCACACCTCTTTTCACTGAGCACCTAAAGTCTCAGGAAAGTGTGAAAATATGCAAGGAACCTAAATAGTTTTAGGTCCAAAAAACAAACCCTAGGGGAGCTCACAGCAATGGGGGTGATCACTCATGACTGGTTTCTCTTGATAGCTTGCTATTTCAGACCCACATAAGTGCACAACTGTCACTAAAATAACAATGAAAAATATATGAAAAGATTTGTGTGGATTTCTTGCAGTGATTTTTAAACAGTGACAAACCAGTGAAAGCACTTTCTAAAAAAAAATGGGTAAGGGCAGGGGGAGATACAGTGAGCGCACTGCAAAGTGGAGATAAGACTAGTCCTGCTGTGGAGTCCCTTGGGATGTCTCCACAAGGACTAAGGGAGAAGGAGTGGGAGGAGCAACTAAGATTACACACAGTCCTGTATCAGACATAATGTAGGTTGCTTCATGAGCAACTTCCTTGTATAGTTTATTTACCGGCTGGGTTATCATGAAGTGTATACCTGCTCAGCATGGCAGTATTGTTGAACACCAAATTATCCCAGTGTGTTGAGCACTAATATCACAAACTCTTGCTATCTTCACTGTTAAATAAATAGTAACATTTAATAAATAACATTTTATTTCAGGAAACAAAGTAAAAGTAGATATTTTAGAACAGATCCTTCTTGTAAACTTATACAGAACGTTGCAAGCGGCTAGAAGTCTAAGGGTACCATATAGAACCGGTAAGAAGATAGCAGAGAGAGGGAGGGGATTCCTACTGGCTGCTTCTCCAAGTTCTATGTTCAACTCATTTGTACAAAATCTGGTAGCAATAGCTGCAGCAACTGCCAGTCTTTAAGAACAAGCATAATGTCTTTGGTACCTATGAGTAAGGAAGCCAGTAGGGAGTTAGTAAAAGTCCCAAAGCTAGGAAGGGGGTTCTTTCCCTTGTGGAAAAAAGACAGGTGCAGCAGAGATTTGCTCCTGTGAATAAAAACGGCAGAATTCTGTGGAATGCAGACAATTTCTTCTTTCTAGCAGCATGAGTTACCTCAGGAGGAACATGATGGTAGTAAGCTCACCCCATGCCCCATGTTCCTCCAAGAAAGTGAAAACTGTTCATTTTACTCTTAGTTGGCATGTGTAAATATATATATTCTTTCCTCCTTTGACATCTTTGAGCAATGCTCCTACATTTAATGTTAAAACTACATCTTTTAACTACTCTTTAGAGTACATTAAAGGTTTAAATGCTGGTAAAGAAGCAACTATCTTGTATATGGACATATACCAGAGGATAATATTTTGTCTCATCTATTTTTAATAATCATAGGTTCTAAGTTGGTTCCCTTCTGGAGTTGGTTGCAAATGGGCAGGGACCTTCTTTTTATACGACTACGATATCTGACTGGTGCCTGGCAACTTGGAACGAGAAAAATAAATTAAATTATACTTACCGACTGGATTGTCTCGATATAAACATTATGCTGATTCTTGTCAATACTATGAAATAAGAAATATTTGATTACTGTTCTGTACTGCATTTTTGTTCGGTACTGCAGATGTCCTATACAATATGCCTTTTCAAAGATTTTTTTAAATTTCTAAACTGTTTCTCGATCATTTTGCTTTTGAAGAAATATTTAAAAATGATTTTCCATTTGCACAAAATATACTTAGGGAACAAGAACATGTGAGTAATTATATAAAATATGTGGACTGATACAGACTCCAGTTTTCAGTGAAAGCTGTCATTGGAGTTAGCCAAATCATTGTTACTTGTATATTTGTACACAAGAGGGCATACCTTTGTATACACAGTGTGCTTCCTTGTTTGAAATAAATAAAGGATGCTTTGTGCTTAAGATGTGCTTAAGATGCTCCAGTGGAGCAAAGCTCAGGGAACCACAGTTCAATTTGTATGCCAGGAAGTACTTCCTGACAGTTAGGACCCCAAGGGTATGGAATGGGCTTCCATGGGAGGTGGTTGAGGCCCCATCAGTGAGGCTGTTCACGTGGTAGGCATGTCGTGAGTGGAGCCGGCTAGAGCCGGGGGTCAGACTAGATGGCCCAGGAGGCCTCTTCTGACTCGCTCTGTTTCTATGTCACTGGCCCTAGCAAGAAATCATCGGATTTGAACATGCATCTTTTTCCATAAATGATTTACCAACATCTTACAAAAAGGCATTGATTTTCTAAGAATACCATGACTGATGCAGACAAAGCTGGACAATTCAGATTCTATTGATTTCAGCAAGGGTGAGTTGCTGAGTTAAACTGACCCACTAAAGGCAACCAGGTGTGAAATTGCTTAACCTTAGTTGGGTATCACCCACTGTTTAAACTGAAGGTATATCTGCAAGGCAATAGGTATTCATAATAAGCTCAAGAACTTAAGTACAGAAGACATGGAAACATTTTATGAGTTGTGAATGTGTGTTATATTCTGAACCAATGGACTTTAATTGACTTCAACTGCAATTCCAGTAAACTTTGAGGGTCTGTTCATATTACCTTTATATTGTGGGAAATTAAATGTAAAATGGTGCTCTCAAACTGTTTGTAGATCACAGATGACTCTTATTTTTGTAATCTGCAACCACAATCATAATCAAATTTTGCTCGCTTAAGTATACCTACAAAAGGCCAACCAGAATACCCTATGCATACATAATTATACATCTAGAACATCAAATGTCAGAATATTTTACACTTTCTGATGGCATATTATTTCTATGTCAATATTTCTGTCAGGTTCCCTGCCAGAAATTTCACAATCAGTGTTATGGTCCTCCCTCTGCTGCCCAACATTTTATTCCCTAACAACTGCCTTTTTCATTTACCCCATAGTTCAGGCGTAAACTTTGCTACATAATCCTAAACACATCTAGTCAAAAATAAATCTTAGTGGGTGCAGTATAGCTTGTGTGTAATAAACTTCATGGCATTGCACTCTCCGTTCTGGATATGCGTTTGGAATTAGAGTATCATTCATAGATTTCATCAAATTTCACAGCAGTCAAGTTGAAAAGTTACGTTGCAAAAGGAGATTTGAAATCCCTGTAACAAGGTCTAAAAGACAGACAGGTATCTAGTCACCTGGAAGAGCAAATGTCTGAAATACTCCTAGCCATTGGCAGTTGTGCAGTTCTTCAGCCCTCTTCTCTTTCACTTCCCTTTGTTCTCAGAGAGAGAGAGAGATCTAGGTTTCTGTACTACCCTTTAGGAATGCTCTCCAGATTTGATCTTGGCATCAAGTGTCCACTTACAGCAGGAAAATTGTTTAATACTTGTCTGGGAAAGAGGAGAAGGTTTGTAGGGATAAGAGGAACCACCGGGGCACCAGATATGCAGCATTATTATTTATCCACCGATCACTTGCCATTGGCTTGTTGAAGCTGAACATGACTTCCTTCTTCAGTGGCTTGTTCCTTCCAATGTGGAATATGAAACTGCAGTACCTGCCTGCTGCACTGTGAAAATTGTACAGAGGACCTCTAGGTTAAGCACCTGCCACACACAGCTGTGCCACCATGATACTGAACAAAAGAAGGTATGGTGGGCAAATAGAGAAATGTTGAATTCGTACAACACAAAATCCAGAGTGAGTTGCTTGTCATGCAAAGTGCACACGATGAACCCAGCAACTGATTGGGTTCATTGTGGGTAATTTACCCCCTCTCACATCCAGGAGGTGTCCCAGGGAATAACATGAGAAGGAACAAGTTTCCTCTCTTTGACAATCATGACTGGGAGCAGACTTCAGCTTGTCATGGCTGTCAGAGCCCTGCTGAACAAATAGGGCATGCAGGCACCTGCAACAAGATCAACTTCCAGCTTCAGATGGGACAAAATATAAAGGAATGGCCACTGATCCCTTTCAGTATGCAGTCTCTTGCCTGTTGCTCTTTCCCTTCCGGGCACAAGTCATGTTTGTACTGTCCAGACAAAGAATGAAAACCCCTTTGGTCCCATAATGATTGGGCACCTCTGCCTCCTGATCCTGATGAAGCCACATTCAGTTACTCAAGGATGTGATTGCGGGGACAGCCTGCAATGGAAGAACTACAAGTCATCCCATGAAAAAACTGAGCAAGAGGCTAAAGCTCAACCAACTAGCGCAAATAATAGCAAGGCTTGCAAGAACAAGAAGAGAAGAGTGTGGGAGACTCCCTGTTGTGCAATATGGAAACACATGTACATTGTGAAGGCCCATGGACTCATCAGATATGCTGGCAGCCTGAAGGACAGAGCAATGAGGTAACTGAAGGACTGCACGTCATTTAGCCCACTGACATGTATCCCTTCCTTCTTATATATGTGAGAACAAATGGCATTGCCAAGCATTGCTTTGAAGAAATCACATCAGACTTTGAAACTTTGGGGTGGAAAGTCAAGAACTCTGGTGCCCAGATAGCTTTCTCTTCCATCCTTCCAGTTCTTGGAAGAGGAATAGAAAAGGAAAGAAAAGTATTCTGAGTGAGTGCCTAGCTATGAAGGTGGTACCAATGGGAGATACTGGGATTCAGGGACCATGGGTTACATTTTCCAGATGAGGGACTGATGGCAAGGAATGGGTTGCACCTCACAAGAGATGGACAGAATGTGTTTGGCCACAGCATGAAGAAGTCCATCAGGAGGGTTTAAAACTGAATCCTACAGGGGACGGAGAATTACACCTGGGCATCACAACAGATAAAGGTTTATGCATCACAACAGAGAGAGCAGCTCTAATAGCACCCAATAATAACTAGAGTATAACACATGTGCTCTTCAGTGTCCATATTCTAACGTCCAGAGTATGGGAAACAAACAGCATGAACTTGAACACTATACTACTTAATACAGGAGGGTGAATACAACCTGATAGTTGTTTCCGAAACATGATGGGACAACTCCCATGACTGGAATTCAACAACTGAAGGATATCACCTGTTCAAGAAGATCAGAAGGAACAGAAAGGGAGGTAGACTCACAGTATATGTTAAAGATACATGTCTCTGCAAAGAAATACAAGAGGACAAGCTTAGTAGCCCCATTGTAAGCATCTGGAGTAAGATAAATGGAGCAAGGTATAAAAGGAACACAGTGGTTGGAGTGTATTAGTAACTACTCGGGCAATGAGAAGATGGAACTTTTGAAAACTCAAATTGCCAGTGTTTCTTGGAGGTACAGTATCATTACTGGGGACTGCAAATTCCCTGATATTTGCTGGGAGACAAATTCTGCCAAGAGTGACCCCTCCAGGAAATTCCTAACATGTATTGCTGATAACTTTCTCCAACAAAAAGTGAAGGAAGGAACTAGAATAGAGCGGTCCAACTTTTTGTACCTTGATGTCTGCATGAGGACTTCAACATGGAACCTGAGGGCCACACAGTGAATTACATTTCCATAGCATAAAATGAAATGTTTGCAATATATTTATTTAATATACACAATTAATAATTTTAAGATGGTTTTAGGACTAATTGAATTAAAAAGAATGCTTTGTTTCTCCCACTCAAAAACCTTCCTATGTAACCCCCTAGCTCCTCCTTCCTTCTTGGAATTAGCACGCTAAGCCTTTTGTACTCAAGCTGCCAAATTCTCCCCAGTTTGCCCCAGCCACTCCTGGTGATGAATGCAAAGGCACTCGGGTCCTAAATACCTTCACACTTGGTCAGCTGCAATGGCACAGGGCATGCTGGGATGAGCTGTTGTGAGGCTGCCATCATCAGAAAAAGAGCCGGATAGGATGGCGGTCTCAGGTGAGCTTGCTGCAATCACACATGTGGGATTCCTGGGATCTGGACTGGTGGGGAACAGAGGACCTCCAAGCAGGAAGAGGACTGCAGAATAAGGCCTCCAGGGTAGCAAGCAGCCTGCAGGCCACATGTTGGACCACGCTGAATTAGGAGAACTGCTATCCTTAACTTGATACTAACCAACAGGGATAACCTAGTGGATAAAGTAGAATTCTGGTAACTCTGGAGGAAAGTGACTGTGCCATTCTTGAATACTTGATTCTAAAGAAATAAAAGTCAACTGTAGCCACACATATATCCTGGATTCTAGGAAAGCCAATTTTAATTTGGCTTTCCTAAAATTTTAATACACTCAGAACAATGAAAGCAAAGTCCAATGGCAAGCAATCCTAATTAGAAAAGGAGTCCAAGATGGGAATAAAATAAATAAATCAATCTAAAGGCACAATCACAACTCCAACTAGGAAAAGGGATAGCAGGCAAGAGAAGTCCATGTGGCTTCACAAAAAGCTTAGAAATGATCTGAAAACAAAAAGGACAAGTGTAGGAAATGAAATGAATGCCAGGCTACGAAGGAAGAATACAGACAGGTAGCACAAAATGGTTAGGATTTAATTAATGCCCAATAGCCAAATCTCTCTGGCATCAGAAAGGCTGAAGCTAGGAGTAAACTAAAGTTAGCAAAGGATGCTCAAATGAGCAGCAGCGACAGCACCTTTCTTCAGCTATGCACATAGTAAAAGACAGAGGAAAGAAATGGGAGTTTCCACTACAGGATGTGTATGGAAGTTTTTCACTACAGGATGTGGGTGGAAAACAATAACAGATGCCAAAAGTAGGCAGAAGTCCTTAATTTCTACTTTGGGTCAGTCTTCTCCCAAAAGAAGACTTTAGGATCTTCCTGATGAAGGGCAAGTACAAACTGAAGGAGCAGGATGGCAGCTCAAGATTGATAGGCAAATGGCCAAGGATCATCTAATTGGGTTAAATCTCCAGGACCCAATGAACTCCATCCTAAAGGAGCTGGCAGAAGAACTCTCAGAACCACTGTCTATTATCTCTGAGAAATGGAGGACAGGGGAAGTGCCATAGGACTGGAGAAGGGCTAATGTTGACCCATTTTCAATTAAGGAAAAGAAGAACCTGGGAACTACAGACCAGTCAGTCTGATATCCATTGCTGGGAAAATTCTGGAGCAGATTATAAAGCAGCCAGTCTGCAATCACCTTAAAAATAATTCAGTGATTACAAGAAGCCAACATGACTTTCTCAAGAACAAATCCTGCCAAACTAATCTGATTTAATTTCATGATTGGGTGGTAATGGACTGTGGGAATGTTGTGGATGTAATCTATCTCAATTTCAGCAAGGCTTTTGACAAAGTGCCCATGATATCTAGATTAGCAAACTAGCTAAAAGCTAAAAGTAAACTAGCTAAAATATAAAAACTATCAGCTGGATCCACAGTTGGCTGCAAAGAATGCTTTAAAATGGCATTAATAGAAGTCTCACCTCCAAATCATGTGAAATGCTAGTTTGGCCTAATCTGGAGTACTCCATCCAGTTCTTTCACAGTTCAGACAGAGGCAGACAGCTGGAAAGGGTTCCAAGGAGGGCAACAAGATCAGTCCTGGCCTGAAAACAAAGCCCTATGAGGAGAAATGGTGAGAAGTGCGCAAGTTCAGCCTTCAGAAGACTGAAAGGAGATATGATAGCAATCTTTGAGTACTTAAAAGGTTATCACAAAGAGGAAGGACAGGATCTCTTTATCATGCAGGGATTGGACCTGATGGCCCTCTGGCCCTTGCCAGCTCTACTACTGTATGATTCTATGAGCAGCACAGAATTGCCAGCTAGCAGTACTGGCAGAAGTTCCAGTCCTGATAAATAATTCACCAATATAGCAGCCATTTTCCCATAAGGCAGTTTCTTTGGCACACACATTTCCAACATTGCTTTATAGGAATATGAAAATGGCTGCTTTGCTGACAAGTCTGTTTTCAGGTGGGACAGCAGTAGCGTGCAGCAACTTCTCTGGAAGAGCCATTGCTGAATGGTAAATGACTTGTCCTTCATGTACAAGTTAATAGGTTTCAGGTTGGGCAGGAAAAATTACTTCCTATACCCCTACCACTCAGGATCAACAATACTGCCTTCACTGGATCAAGAGTCTGGTTCACCCTTAAGGCATTTTTCTATGCAACACTGCAAGGAGTGGAAGGCTCGTGAACCTGAACTTGCCAGCATAGGCACCATGTAATTTTTCTGTAACATAATTCCCATGATATATAAGTCACAGACATTGCAAGGTGAGGAAATTTAAAATGGCTGCTATATTGGCAGGCCTAGCCACTTGGGCCCAGCACGCATGTTTGCACCAGGATCTCAAAATTAAAGGGCCCAGAAGCAAGTGGAGATGGTAGCGAAGAATTTAGAAGACTGAGACTTGGAAGGGCAGCAGCAAAGGAACTATAAAAGATAACCTATTATATTAATGTGTCTGTGGAATCAAGGCCAAGACTATCCACTCTATTTTATTCCTGATCACTGTGTATGGGTGTGAAAGCTGAACAGTTAAGAAAGTTGACAGGAAAAAGGTGATGTGTGCCAGAGGACAGCTTTGTGAATATCCTGGCCTGACAGATCAGCAAGTGGGTCCTAGATCAAATCAATCCAGAGGGTTTTTTATAAGTATGAATGATGGCACTGAGGCTGTCATACTTTGGCCACATCATGAGAAGGCAAGACTTATGCACAAGGCAATAATGATTGGGAAAATCGAAAGCAGAAGAGGAAGACCAACTATGAAATTATATAATCCCTCATAGATGGATCGATTCCATAAAGGAAGGCAGAGCCTTGAGTTTGGAAGAGCTGAGCAAGGTTGTCAAGGTCAGGACACTGTGGAGAGGATTCAACTCAGGGACACTTGCCAGCACCTAATACAAAGGCACGTGGCTACACTAGTGCTTAGCCCAGCTACGCTGACTGAAAATAGATGGGTGTGTGTAGCGGAGCAATTTTCTGCCATTGGCTATGAAGGAAAGCAACAGTCTCCACGGTTCAGAATAAAGCACATTGAGTGTTCCCTTCCGAACTTGGAGATGGCCTGATATGCTACACGTTTAAGCGAATGTCTTATTTGAAACTGCCAATGAATCAATTACGTGCATCACGCTGCAGTTCTCCGGAGGTGATAATGAACTCTCTCAGCCACCGGTCTTTCGCCTCTGCTTGTGTGCAACAGCACCGCGCGCTGCGTGCATCCCGTTTCTCACCCCAGCGGCCTCCAAAGCTTTTGCCACCCTCAAGATGGCCGCCTGCGCGCCACTTCCCGGGTTGGTCGCTGCGTTTGCAGCTCTCGTCGCGCCTTGATGAGCGCATCAGGCCTCATTGCCACGTCTCTTCAGAGTAGCAGGGGCAGCCGGGAGCCGTCGTGGCGGCAGGAGAAGAGGAAAACGAGAAGCGCGTTGAGAGGGCCGGGTCTCTCCCTCTCCCCAGCTTGGTGGGCTCCTGGGAGCTTGCAAGTGGCAGCAGTGGCGATAACACCCGTTCTCGCTCATGGTGCCGCTGGAGAGGCGGTGAGTTGGTCTGAATGCGCCTCCTCCTTTTTTTCTTCTCTGTGTTTCGTGGTGGAGGGTAGACTAGGACTCCCAGTCGTAGTAGCCACAGGCGGGCGACTTGGCAAAGAAGGGAGAGGCCGCCGCTTTGTGGTTCCCGCTTTGTTTCTTAGCTGCTTTTCTGTTGTACTTCTTCCCTGCCTCCATCTCACTGCCTTAGTAATGTGGTGCTGTGCTCAGTTATTGGCCTTCGCGCTTTCTTCTCCACTGTGCTCAGGTGTTGCCTCCGCTGCATACAGTTCCGTGTCTTCTTTTTCCACCCTCTACCTGCCGCTCCGTGGCTGCCTCTTCTCTCATTACCTCCGGTTTTTCAGCTGCTTCTCAGGCAAGCAACTCTTATTCTATTGAGAAGAATAAAATACCATATGCAGGGATTGGAATGCCTCACACAGAAACTTCCTGTCCCATTTCCACTAAAAGATAGAAACAGAAACAAAGCGAGTCAGAAGGGGGTTCCTGGGCCATCCAGTCTGACCCCTGGCTCCAGCTGGCTCCACTCATGTAATTCCCAACATGTGGTTGCCCAGTCTTCTTGAACTCCCTCACTATAGAGAATACCATTGCTCATGAAGACCAAGGCTGCTAGTGTTTGTTCATTCTTTGGAGTCTGTTGAAGGTTATTTAAATTTATTTTCTTCCCCAGAGATTCAAATCTGTGAGAATTGTCTCCAGATCTGAATGTCAGAATCCTCTGGATTGTCCATACCAGAAACTCACACCAAGCAGGTACTCAGTTGGAGCAAGTGGGTGATGTGACTATTTCTCTGAAATTTGTATGACTTGTTCTGTGTGTAAGTAAGCTCCATTCAACTAATTGGAACTTCTAAGTACACGCCATGCCCAAGATCAGACTACATATCAACGAAGAGTTATCATTTTCCATTGAGAACTTAAACACCCCAAAGTGTTTAATTGACATACTGATTGGGATAGCAAATCTAGATATCTGATCATGTTAGTACACATCCCAATCAGTATAAACTTGGAGACTGAAATAATGAAAGCACACTATTATTGGTATACACTAAAGAATACGCAGTTTGGCAATATGAATCATGTCATATTTATTGATTGAGTTTTGATCAGCTGTACATAAAGAAAGTACCCCAACAGAATATGGAATCCACTTGTACTTAGAATTCATCTGTAACATCTTCCCACCCATCCTAGCATCTATTTGTAAAATTTTCCTGATTTAGCATTTGTAGTGGGAGATTTTAAGAAGATTATACTCCCTAGCAATCATATTTAGGAATGCTGGCTTTAAAATGTAATTTTTGTTATACTTAGTTTCCTGCCACAGAAACAAGAGCTAAATAATTATCTCAACTATTTTGTGATCTTTTTAACTCAGGAAGCTGCTCAGGAATGCCGGATTAAAATAATCTTAGTGTTGCTTCTTGAACACTAATGTGCTGATATTCAATAGACACTATCAATGAAAACATAATTAGTCATTTCAGTTTTTGGAGTAAGTGTCTTTTGTTGCAAGTAAGTTTTATCTGGTGCTTATCATTGAAGTAACTGGGGATTTCTGCATGGAGGAGCACACACAATGACAAGTTGCCTCTTCTCCCAGTTTAAGTTACATAAAAGTTACACTTTTCAATGTCATCTACTTTGATATGCATGCAGACAATTCTTGAAATGACACACCACAAAAGGGTAACCGCCTTTTTCTCACTTCTTAAATTACTTGTTATTTGAATGCATGGGTGGTCAGCTTAATTTGCAGCAATCTGGAATTGATGGGCAGCTGTCTCACAGCTTTTCTATTATTAATTTTATACTCAGTTGATTTTCAGTGATATATGCAAAAGCTGTGTGCTTGTTTACTTTCCCTGTAAATACTTATGAGGAATAAGTATTCATAATACTTCACTGTGTGATGAGAGCCATTGTAGTTAATATACGATAGTGTGTTATGTTTAATTCCTAACTTTTCAAATGCAGCCCTGTGGGATGTTGCCCAGTTCAGCAAGGTCCAGCTGCTGAACTTACAATGTTGCTGTGTGTGGTGGAAGCATTTGCAACAGGCTGTGGTGATGTTTCCTAGTTAGAAGTTGTTACGATTACCCTAACTGGTTGTAGCAGTGGCAGCTGGGGCATGCATTTTCCAGTCCTTTTGCTGTGGGGTTTGCAGGAGCATATACATGGCAGGAGTTCTAGTGGATCTCTCCTTTTAAGTTGCAATCTAAAATGCTTTGCAATAAGTTAGGAAAAAGAGGCAGGAACATGGAAAGATGTGACCTGTGGAACCTAGAACAGTTCTGTGCTGTTGGGAACTACACAGGCAATGCTAGGATGCTCCCATAGAACCTTAAGGAGGACACTCAAGGCCCTAGGTGTTGTGGTGGGCAGATCTGAAAGGTTGTTTCAGAGGTGTGTTGCCTTTTGGAGGCGTGTACCGTATTTTTCGCTCTATGAGACGCGCCTGACCAAAAGACGCACCTAGTTTTTAGAGGAGGAAAACAAGAAAAAAATATTCTGAAACAGATGGGCACATAATCACAGGCACATTCCCCATCACTTCCCCATGGGCTGCACATCTGACAGACTTACTGCACACACATATTCGCTCTATAAGACGCACAGACATTTCCCCTTACTTTTGAGGGGGGGGAAAGTGCGCCTTAGAGAGCAAAAAATACAGTATTCAAGATGTGATGGAGCTGTTGGAGATTATCAAACCCACAAGCTACTGCCCTGCTGATCAATGTGGGAATCTTAAATGGATCTTCACAAACCAGAAATGTATAATTTCTGGAAATGTTGAAGCTATGGATTTTTTAAAAAGGCATATTATTTGGCTTTTTTAATTAAAAAATGAATTCTTCAGATAAAAAAAAATACCTATTTTAGTGCTTTTTGTAGATTTAAAATCACTTTGGTACAATCCTATCCAGTTTATTGTTATTTTAAAATTTTCATTACCACCCTACCATATGATCAGTTTATAACAATACAATAAAATCAAACAATGAAATACAAATCTCATTTTAAAAAAGCATTAAGATGAATTTTAAATAACTAAAACACACAGTAACACTGGCCTGTAGAAAGAAAATAACATTATCTAGGATGGGTAATTCCCTCAAGCCCCTGAATGGCTGAGTAAATCTTTAAAAGCTTTGGCATAAAGGACCATCTTCACCTGCTGCCAAAAGGATGACAAGTTTGGCACCAGGCAGGCCTCAATAGGGAGGCATAGATGAGAGGTCACCACAGAGAAAACCTTTCCCTTGGTGCCATTATCTGATCTTTCCTTGGAACTGGAACTCAGAGGAAGACTCCAAGTAGATCACACTTGGGTGAGGCATCCCAACATAGTCCCAAGCCTCTGCTCTGCATTTTTGCTAGGCAGTGCTTTTTGGACATTTAGAAAAGGTTTTTCAGATGAGGCGGGAAGGAGGCTAGAGTGGTTTTAGGATATCATATCCTGGCCAGTTTTCTTGCTTCTCACTGAAATGCCCCAACTACAAGGTTGCTTTCTTGACCTCAGAGAGCAGCTGGTGTGGTTCTTTCAATGCCAACTACAAGAGAGCAGTAGCAAGGTATCAGAACGCCAGTTTACAAATCTCAGGTTCCCAATCTTGGAGCTGGAAATTCAACTTGTCCTCTGGTCATCCGATACGAATTCTAGGAAACAGAGGATGATTTCCTTTGTCCTTTATGATTTTACAAAGTATTATGTATACCTTTGTTTGATCATTAAACTATCATTAAAATTTAAAACATTTGAAATATAATTGCATTTGTAAATACTGCTTAAGTAAACTATATTTTGATATAGTACACATGATAATTTTTAAGAAAAAGACATCACGTAATAGGATCCTGTTTTATTTTGACCAGAAGGAACTTCAGCAAGTAGCCCCTTAAACATCTGAAACAGCCTGAAGAATCAAGAAGACCTAGATGCAGAGGAAGACTAGTGCACAGCATCTGTTCTTACATTTGAGAATTTAGTTGGTGTACAGGAAGGAAGGAAGGTCTGAAGGAAAAGCTACTGAGAGATTACTCAACTGGATAAAAGCTAAATATGATTGTGATCCCCTTAGAAGGAAGGAAATTTCCACATATCAAATGACATGTCAGGGTGCTACTTGCAGGGTGGGAGAAGCAGCAGAGGCAAATTTGCTTCTTCTCCTTATACAAAATTTATCTTTAGCTGGGTCTCTGATACAATTTAGAGCAGGTATGCTGCTGAGGCTGAAGAGCCATAGAATTTCTCATATTCTGGCCTCTCTTCTCTGCTCCCTTCTCTTCTTTTCCTTCCCTCCTAGGTCCTAGTTGTGATCTTGAGAGGCATGCAAGGGGACACAATATTAGAACACAAGATTCCCTCTGCTAAAGTTGTAGCAGTGCACCCCCAATGCAGGGGTCTCCAGTGCAGTGCCCGCAGGCAATTCCACTGGCACCTGTAAAGGAGTCCTCAATGTGGCACCTGTTGACACACACAAAATGTCCCTCTTTTTTAATATGCATACATGGATATGTATGCATATCCATAGCAATGAGTATATATGAAGCACAAAACTTTCTACAAAAGCGTCAACAAAAGTGGACAAACTGTCCCAATGGATATCAATTTGAAGGTGATGTCTATATGCCACCCAATCAGAAACTGAAAGCATTGTAAAGCCCTTAGATTCCATTATAGGAGGTGAGTGTCTCTCCTTCCAATATTATACAATCATACAATAGAATAGTAGAATTTGAAAGGGCCAGAAGACCATCAGGTCCAGCTCCCTGCTCAGTTCAAGATTCCATCCCTCTCAGATAGCTGTCCAGTTGCATCCTGAATACCTGTAGTGTGGGAGAGCCCACAGCCTCCCTGGATAATTGATACCATTGTCATGTAGCTCTAATAGTCAGAAAATTTTCCTGATATCTGGCTGGAGTCTAACTTTCTGTAACTTGAGTCCATTATTCCATGTCCTGCACTCTGCTACAATCAAGAGGAGATCCTGTCCGTCCTCTTTGTGATAGCCTTTCAAGTAGTTATAGTGTGCAATTGTACCTCTCCCCAGTCTATTCTTGAAGCTAAACAAGTCCAGCTCTTTCAATCTCTCCTCATGGGGCTTTGCTTCCAGTCCCTGGATCATCCTTGTTGTCTTCTTCTGAAACCTTTCCAGCTTGTCTGCATCTTTCTTAAGCTATGGTGCCCAGAACTGGACACAGTACTCCAGATGAGGCCTAACCAGTACTGAGTAAAGGGGAACTAGTACTCCAATTGATTTGGAAGTGATACTTCTATTAATGTGGCCTAAAATAGTATTTATCCTTTTTGCAGTCACATCACACTGTTGGCTCATATACAGCTTGTGATCTACAGTACTCACAAGCTCCTTCTCACTTGCAGTATGGTTGAGCTAAGTATTCCCCATCCTTTAATTTGGTTTCTTTTTCCTAGGTGCAGAACTTTGCATTTGCCCCTTTTTGTTTAGTTGCAAAGTCATGCCCAACCCATTGTGACCCCATGGACGACACTCCTCCAGGCCTTCCTGTCCTCCACCATCCCCCGGAGACCACTTAAGTGCACGCCAACTGCTTCAGGGACTCCATCTAGCCACCTCATCCTCTGCCGTCCCCTTCTTCTTTTGTCCTCAGTTGTTTCCAGCACCATTTGTCCCTACTGAATGTCATTTTGTTGTTTTCAGCCCAGCGTTCCAACCTATCAAGATCGCCTTGAACCTTATTTCTGTCTTCCAGGGTATTAGCTGTCCCACCCAGTTTAGTGTCATCTGCAGATTTGTTAATCATTCCCTGCAGTTCCTCATCCAGAACCTTAATACAAGTTTTGAAGAGCTCCGGGCCCTTGATTGAACCCTGCAGTTGTGCACTTGTTATCTCTCCTCAGTTTGAGGAGGTGCCATTGATGCATATCCTTTGAATCTGATTCTGTTGCCAACTGTGGATCCTCCTGATAGTTGTCCCATTTAGCCCACTTTTGGCCAGTTTGCTTATCAGGATGTTGTGGGGCACTGTGTCAAAGGCTTTGCTAAAGTAAAGATATATTGTGTCCGCAGCATTCCAAAGTCTATCAGAGAGGACGGACCTTTATCGTATCATTGAGTTGTCAAAAGGGTTGGGAGAATCCATTTACATTTACCATTTATTAATGTCCAGGTAAATAATTTGAAGGAGCATATACATCAAGCCTGTTCCAGTGCAAAAGTTATCTGTGTAATAGCCTCCTTCCAAAATAAGGGACTATTGGATATTGGCCAAACATAAGAAGTATTAGCAGAATTGCACCACCAACAATCCATGCCTTATTTTAGGGATATTTGTGGGTTGTCTAACCTTAAGCCCACACCTGCTGCCTGAGGTTGTCTGACATGACAAGTTTGGTGTTGTAGGTTCCATGCAAAAATGGAATAAATATAGCCACATTATTTGCATATAGCAGTAGTGTGGTTTTCTGAACAGACAACTACAGCAAGAAATCTAGGCAGAACTGAGAGAAAATCTCTAGTAACAGGAATAATATTGCAAAGGTATATTATTAAATAAAAAGTGTCTTCCTTTTTGCAAAATGCCAAATTTGACCTGAAATATTTGGGGTACTGCCTATCTCATAATACCCTACATCTCTAATTCCTACAAATATGGAATCCAATGCTGACATAATCCAGTATGCTAATAAAGCCAGGCAGTGATCCACAGTAGGGTATCCAGCTTTAAATTAAGTTTGTTTATCTCCAGTCCATAACTGTGAACCTTACTGGGTGCTGTTGCCATCAGCAGATCTGTACTGTCATGGCTATCTTTGGTAGCAGAGGCCCATGAATCCCCAATACTACCAGTGGGGCCCCATGACCTTTCCTGTGGAGGAACCATGAGCACTGATTCTTTCAACCTTGCCACTGGTTTCTGCAGTCCCATCACTGGTTTCAGTGGCACAAGAATTGTTTCCTTCATTCCAGCCACCAGTTCCTACACTCCAGTTGACAGTTCCTACCACCAGCCACCTGTCTGCACCCAGTCTGCCCCATCTTGATCACCTTCCTTGCCATTCAACCAGTTCTCCTTGGATCAGGCTGATTATGCATCCAATTCAGAACAGCTGCCAATCTACAATGATCCAGTGTCCTCATCTCCAGAGAACATCATCCCTCTCCAAAGACCTGGGAAGGTTCTCTGAATAGGTCCTCTGAATGGCAACATTGATTGAGCTGGACACATAGCAACTCAGCAGACCGCCTGTGGACCAGATGTTGTGCAGACAGAGGGCATTGTGCTGGCCACCATTTCCTTTCTTCCCATGTGCCTTCATTCCATGAAGGAACCATGGAAGGCCCTGTCACAGCTGCAGTCAACATCACATGGTTTGGAGAGCCTGTGCTGCGTCCAGGAGGAGACCATCCCATTCCTGCTACATCATCCATGGCTGAATTTGGTTATTGTAGCGTCAGCACAGAGGGTGCACACCACCCCAGTGGATTGTGAGGGATGCCATTTGGACATCATGGCAAGGAGGGTCTATGCAGACCTAGGCCTCTGCATCTCTACAAGGCAACCATGAAAAGATACTAGGTCTTCCTATGGGAGAAAACATTTTCAGATTTAGGTAACCCTATGCAAATAATTTTGCATAGGAAATGCTTTCAGAAAATCATCCAGAATTTTTTCTAATTTGAAGTCTTATCACAAGGCACAACAGTCTCCAGGCGTCTGTCAGGACTGTCTTACGTGCGTTCCTCTGAAATGCTAAGACTAGTCCTATGAGTTTTCAAATGGTTGTTATTAGCCTTACTATCTCAGAATCCTTGAGTAGGAGGGAAGGCTAACTCCAAGCTTGTGAAATTTACTCTCCTACTAAAATTTACTCTCCTACTAAAAACAAAAAGATTGTCAACTATAGCCAGGAAAAGAATGGGGAAAGAGCTGAACCCCCTTGGGTCATGAGAATATTGTGAATTGCCCAAAGATTGCTGTGAACTGCTCAGAGTGCTTGAGCTATTGGGCAGTATAGAAATAAAGATAATGACAGCATAAGAAGAATCATGCTGCAACAGGTCAAGTGTCCACCTAGTCCAGTGCTATGTTCACACAGTGGCCAACCAGCCACTCACCATAGGTCAACAGCACCTTCCCACTCATGTTTCCCAGCATGCCAAGTCTATAGGCATAATACCTCTGTTTCTGGTGGTAGCATAGAACCATTAGGGCCAGTCACCCTTGATAGCCTTGAATAAATTCGTTGAATCACCTTTCAAAATCCACCTAGGTTGGTGGTCATCACTATTTACTATGGAACTGTGTTCCATAGTAAATATACTGTGTCATCAAGTACCTTTTACCTGTTCTGAATCTTTTACCAAATCAGCTTCATGGGATGAACCTGGGTTCTGGTGTTATGAGAGAGGGAGAAAAAAAAGGTCTCACTATGTTTCTCCTTATTAACCCTTTTCCTAAGCTAAACAATCCTAGCTGTACCCATTCCTCATAGAAGAGTTGCTTCAGCCATTTTGCTGCACAACCAAGTTCACCATCTGCTGTTGCCTTCCGTGGTGGCAAAAGCTGCTTGCACTGTGCATGGGACTCAATTCCTTGTGAGTGTGCCCATAGAAACTCAGACTCTGTGCTGCTTCCAGGTAGACTAGAGTCCAGGGAGCCAAGCCTAGCAAATCTGACAGAACCTGAACCCAAATGATTCCTCACATATCCCTAGGTATGAAAGTTGCTTCCTAGTATAAGATTATAAGGCAAGTTTCTAGTCAGAATTCATTAGATTGTCTGATTTAGTAGAAAGGGGGAACAATTCCAGGAAATGTCTGGGAAGCAAACAAGTGCTTTTCAAATGCAAATTTGTCATCAATGCCTTTCCATTATCTTCTATAAATAATGAAAAACATCATGGTTCATGCAGTTTTTATCTTGAATGGAAGGTGTTTGAATTTACATGTTTCCAGTTAATAAAGAATTGGTCTTGTCTCAACAAGGATCAGCTCAGTTGTACCAATGGTGCAAGCAGTTAAAAGTGTTTCAATCCTGGATGCACATCTTTTTGAATAAGCACCATTGCTGACCTGGTACTTGTGTTGGAGGTTATGCAACTAATATCAAAAAGAAAACCAGTATTCTCATTCTTTAAAACAGATAAACAAAAATAAATTGCATAGACCTACAAATGTCTTATTCTTCAATCTCTGGGCATACTTTTGTTAATTGATAATCAAAGTTATAGCTAGTAGCAATCATCATGGTTGTAGAAACTATGGGTTAGGATTTTCTATATCCATGCACATGTCCATGGACTGCTTGCATGCAGCAATCACAGTGTTGTGAGAATTTGTGCTCTTTGGAAGTTTCTAAGCTTCCCTGATGTTTCTAGGCACTGCTTGGAAGAATCCTATTGATTGTGCCCTTAGTGATTAGAAACCCCTAAACTCAGAAGTGTCCAGTCATCCAAGGCAAGACGGAAGGAGCACTGGAAGCAATTTTTGCCTCATTGTCCTCCCACCTGGCAGATTGTGCTTGTTGAGCTTTGTATCCCATCTTGCATAGGGCACGTTGGAGAGGAAAGGAAGGAGGCTGGAAGGGGCTCAGGTTACATTGTATTCTGGCCCCTTTGGTCTCCTCTTATTTCCAACCTCCAGAACACTATGTTTCTGACCTCAGTGGGGCAGCTAATGTGGTTCTCACTGCACTGGATGCAAGGGGTCAGCAGCTGTTTTTCTGACTCGCCCTTTCTAAGATTTGAGTACTATCTCTGACTCTAGGATTGCTCTCTCCAGGCACAGAGAGATATACAGTGGTACCTTGGTTCACAAACTTAATCCGTTCCAGGACTCTGGCCGTGACCCAAACTGGTCGTGAGCCAAGTTAAATTTCCCCATAAGGTTCAATTTAAATAAAGTTAATCCGTTCTGTAACTATTTTTTTTTAATCAGAAAAATGTGAAGCAAAGTGACAAAGCGTGCTGGGGGAGGAGAGACAGGCACGAATGCGGGCGCGCTCAGGGGAGAGATGGGCGCAAATGCGGGTGTGCTCGTGGGGCGGGGAGATGGGCATGATTGTGCTGGGGGCAGTGGGGGGAGATGGCCGAGATCGCGGTTGCACTCGTGCAGGAAAGGCAGCCGCAATCACGGGCGCACTCATGCAGGAAGACTGGCGCGATCTTGGCCATCTCCCCCCCCCCACCCCCAGCACGATCGCAGCCATCTTCCCACTCAGGGTGGGGGAGATGGCAGCGATCGCGGTCACCACCCAATGTGGGGTTTGCGGCCTGAGTCAAATTTTTAATGAAATTTTTGTTTGCAACCCGATTTGGTCATGAACTGAGGCGTTTGTGAGCTGAGGTACCACTGTACTTGATTTACATCTGTTTTCCATTTGTACTTTATGTATTGCTTAAAGCTGATGTAATTAAGATCTACTGATTTTACAACAGAATAGGGCTTTTATTTTAGTGACAGCACACTTCAACTATATATGGCTATTACATACTGTTTTAGAAGATGGCACATGATGCATTGTTTAAATAGATAAACTACTCTTTGTTTATAAGTTATGTCAAGTTACGTTAGAATGGCCACGAGAACACAGTTTCATGCAATACTTTGTATTTTTCCTCTTAAAACATGGAATGCTAATTTGGGTCTACACATGCAAAAGCATCAGTTGAAGACTATGGCAACCAAACTTACTAGAAGGCTAATAATTAATGGGCAGAAAAGTAAAAGATCAGAAGTAATGTCCATGTTTTCCATTTAGCAGATGGACTTCCAGGAGAAGATCATATAGTTCAGGAGTCCGCAACATGCTTTGTACTGAAAAGGCCCCAGGTTCTACATCCTGCTAAAAAAGGTCTCAGATAGCAGAGCTGGGAAAGACTTTTATTGTCTGAGACCTTAGGAGAGCCATTGCCAGAAAAGGGAGTGCTGGGCTACATGGGCCAGTGCTCTGATTTAGTACAAGGCAACTTTCATGTATTTAGGTATTGTGGTGACAGATACAGGCTAGTGTCTTCTGGATCAAGGGGCTAAGTCTCTGTAATGGAGACTTAATGGAGCCTGTAATGGAGACTCTGTAATGGAGACTAGTATGGAGCCTGTAATATATATAGTACATGGCTGCCATTGCATAACAATTAGAATGACAACTTTAAAATTAGGCTGCATTTGAGAAAGGGTTATGAATTCCATTTTAAGAGATAAATATAACTTTTGTAGTATTGTACTTTTTTCTGCCCACTCCTCCATCAATTGGAACAAAGTAGATCAGCCCATCTCCTCTTCACTGCTCTGCTCTGCTCTTGCATACAGTTCTGGTCCTCTATCTTGCTCAATGTATTTTGAGAGGAATAAAGTACAGATAGATGTTTAGGATGGGGATATAGCAGTACAGCTTGATAACTTAAGTGTTACAATGGGAAATTAGGGACTGGTATGTTTGATTTCCCATTGTTTGATTGATTTCTAGTAATCAGGTGCAAATTTTAAAGATCAGTGTGTACTGCTCATGTCCAGGATGTTCTATACCTAATGTCTGAACTTAAACTAGGAAAAAAGAAAACACAACATATGAGAGTATGTGGATGCTGTATTGTACCAGCATGAGTTTGGAGAATTTGCATGTTTTGCAATGCACAGTGCATCCATTTTCTAAGGTGAAAGCCCCAAGAGACACCAGCAGTGTCTTGGCCTCAGCCACATCTCCGCATATGATAAGACTAATCAGTGTTATTCAGCAGTTTAAATTTTAGAGTAAGAAGGCAAGATGGCAAGTATGCTATCATCAACCACTACCACCTACAAAAATATTTTCTCCTCCTCTAAGTGTTGTTTGTTATGAATAACAGCCTTATAATTTCCTCTAACAAGTGCAATCTAATCACCAAGCTGCTTTCTAGGCTAGAACATCCAAATTGCTTCAGTGAAGGTTTCTTGAAGTCTTATTTTAATTTTGCATCTTAATTTTTTTCCTTGTCTGTGCTAGTTACTCATAGTGAAACTGACTCTGACTGCTGTTAATCCATCTCTTGGACAGAAAGGATTTTTGAATGAGTCACCTTGAACTCAGAAGTTATCCAAAAGATAGTTTCATTCTCCTATGTTTAGCAAGTGGGCAAGGCATGATTTTGTTAACAAATGTCAATTCTTTCCTTTTTGCTTACAGAGCTGGGAATTCTTTTAAATTGTTATCTAGATCTCAGGGCAAAGGCTGCCAGAGGTGAAAGAGGTGGATTGGTTCCTGGTCATGCCCGGTGGAAGGAGGGGACCCAGCCGGCAGCAGCTAAGCCGTTCAGCTTTGCCTTCTCTGCAGACGTTGGTTGGTGGGAACTGTGGCAACGGCACTGGTCTGAGAAATAGGTGAAGTGAAAATGTAACATGGTGGGCTTGAATCTGGGAAGTAGAAATCATAGGTCTGGTTTGCACAGAACAGTGACCCATCGCATGAGTTGAATATGAGTTGTCATTTAATCATTGCTTTTTGTTGAATCATATGTTGTCAATATCTGCAAATTTATTAATCATGAATAACGCAGGAAGAGAACCCATGGTTTGCTGTTGGGTTATGAACTCTGATTAACAACTTGGAGTTAAAGCACAGTACAGGATGTGCAGGTAGCAACAACCCATGGGTCAGTGGCAAACCATATTCAACCCTCTGGGTAGTCATTATGTGGAAGACAAGTCCTATAAGTTAATTGTGGTGTGCATTCAGCAGTTGGTGTACAATTAGTAGTCAGGTTAACCCAAAATTTATTTGGGTTATTTAACCCAAAATTAACCTATAGTGTCTGGGTTGGGAGGTTCTGTGGCAGTGCCAAGTTTGCCCAGTATGCTTAGCATTACACTGCTTCAAATCACAGATTAATTAAACCACACGTTGTCACTGAACAGCCCCATTGTCAGCAGACCTATGTGAGAATTATGTTATTACTTTGTTCTTTATAAGCCATCCAGAGACATTTTAGTAATGGGACAGCATAGCAAAACTATAAATAAATAAATAAATAAATATTAGTTTTTATCCTTCTCAGAAGGCATTAAGGCTACAGGAGAAAAGCAAGCAAGAATTGTATCACCCTAGTAGTTATCAGGACTTTGTTCTAGATGTGGAAATAACCAAAACTTGGACTAGGGCTATTTCCAATGTTGGTGCTTGCCATTTTCATCCTGTGTGATGTTTGAAAAATGTCCTAATGAGTAATTCCCCTATGCAAAGGCAGCAATTTGCAGCCCTTTGTCAAGATCAGACTAAGGGCTATATAGAGTTAAACACACCCGTACTGTGCCATTGGGATAGCTGTGAGACACATGGCATTTTGGCTTTTTAAAGTTAATGAATATTCATTGTACTACAGTGGCTAAGTTGTGAACTGGTAAGTACCCAGTTCAGACCTCTCTTCTGTCATTTATTTATTTAATATCCTGCCTTTCCTCGAAGGCGCTCATTGCAACATGCATGATCCTCTAGCTCCATGTCATCCATTGCAGTAACTCTGTGATGTAGGATAAACAAAGTCAGTGACTGACCTAGAGTTGTGAGTCAGCTTCATGGTGACATGAGAAGTAGAGCTATGATTTTCCAAGCCTACAGTTCAAACAAGGTGACCTTGGACAAGTAATTATCTCTCCGACCTACATCTCTGGTGATTACATTACCCTGTGTTATAGAGGAATTGTAAGAATCTTTTAAGAACGTTTATGTGAAACAATCTAAGCATTCTAAATTCCAAAGTCAGTTGTAGATGTTTGAGCTGTAACAACATGAAATATCCCAGGACGTTGGCAAGAATTACAGATGTGGTTTCTTTGTTTCAGGAATGGTAGTGCTGTCAACCTCTCTGCCCCTCCTATCACAGCTTTGATTACTCCTGAGCCTGTGCGACACTGCCGAATCCCAGAGCTGCCTGTGGACGGGAATCTTCTGTTTGAATTCCTCTTTTTCATTTACCTGCTGGTGGCCCTTTTTATTCAGTATATTAATATTTACAAGACTGTGTGGTGGTATCCATACAAATACCCTGCCTCCTGCACATCATTGGTGAGCCCATCTTTTTGACTTTTCACAGTTCTTTTAGATTAGGAATGTTCATGTATTATTTCTTGGTTGCTTAGTTCATTAATATCTACACATAGCACCAGGCAGCAATAAATACCTTTTGCAGTAACACAGAAAAGAACAAAGGATCTGAGAATAAAATGCAAGGGTCTTCTATAGAAATTATGGTGTAAAGGTGGAAGGAAGGTTGAGTTCTTCTTCGTGGTCTCTATGCATCGTGCATATGGGCTCTGCACCTTCACAGTGCTTGTTGTCAGGAAGATTTTCCTAGCTCAGCAAAAGTTTTGGCGGGAGCCTTGTCTCCTCTCCCTCTAATATAAATAGGAGGGGGTCCTGCTATTTTCCCCAGTTCTTTTCCAACCACCATTTGTGTGCTTTGGGATTTTTACTAGACCCCTCCTTCTCCTCACAATTGTTCATATAACGCTTACCCTTTCCAAAATAAACCCCTTTCTATTGTCACTTTTCTTCTTATTTCTTCCTGATTGCTCTTTCTGTGGCCTTTTGGAAAATGCACCCACTAAATTGCCTTCCACTCTGCTTGTTTTGCCTTGGTGAGGACCACCAAGTCAAATCTTGTCCCCACTGCCAGGCTTTCACACAGCAGGTCTGTAAAAAATTGGGCAGAGTGCCTGAAGATGAAGATGTGGAGCTGCACACTCATGGTTGTCGAATTGATCACTTCCATGCTTCATGGGCACCTATTGACTTCTCAGGCTTCATCCTCCTTCATAAAGTGCTGTCAGTGGCCACTGGGGCTCCACCAGCCACTCCATCTGCTTTGACATTGGCTAAGTGCCCTCACAAGCAGGAGAAGAAGCAGGCAAAAAAGTCCTGCAAAATGGTGGAGGAACTGAAGATGGCAACCAGAAGGGGAAGAAAAACCCTCAAAGCACCCTCCACAGCTCTCACCAACCATACGGTCAATTGCCTATTCCATCAGCAGCCCCAGCTACTTCTTTCATGCCAGCCCTGAGATTTACCAGGCTGCCTACTCCAGCAGTGATTCCCAACACCGGCCACCTTATCCAGCCTAACTGGGTGAATGGAACCATCTGCATCCCATTCCTTCTCTGAAGGGGAGATTCGGGACACACCACCTCATACCTCTCCACTGAGGTCAGCATCCTTGAGAGGCCATCAGCTGCCATTCACTTATCTGGTTGCTTGTCTGCACTGTGGGGCTGTTTTGCTGGCTCACTCCCATATGACCACCCGGCAATCAATGGAATGGTCAAGATCACCATCACACTGGGGCCATGAAACATACTGGGCTCCTCTGCCTCCAAGCATTCCATATCATCCTTGGTAACTACACATGGGAGCCACCTACATACCAGCCACAGGAATCCTGGGCCACGACGCCTCTGATTCTGCCACCAGTCACAGCCACCTTGACGCTAAGCCACCAACCGATCTCCCAACCATCTGCACCACTCTGACCATTACAGCCTCCACTGCTGCAAATACCATCTTTGTCATCTGGGTGATGATGTTGCTCGGATTGGATACTCAGCAACGTACAGAGCCTACAGTAGATGCATTCTACAATGTTGTCCAGGTGGAGAACTCCGTGCTCCATGGCCATCCCATTCCTTCCCCCATTCCTCCAATCCATGAAGGAACCATGGAGGCACAACTGCAGCCGATAGCATGTCGTTTGGAGAGCCTTTACTGGGTCCAGGAGAGGGCATCCCATTCCTGCTACACCATCCAAGGCCCAATTGTTTCATCTTAGGGTCGTCACGATGACAGTTGCAGCAGGAGCACACCATAGCAGCTGACTGAGGGAAGGTGGCTTGATGCTCTGGCAAGGAAGGGCTACATGGCAATGGGGCTGGGCCTGCATATCTTTAGCAACGATGGGGTGATACCAGGTGTTTCTCTGGAAGAAAATGGGTGCCCTAACCAAGTTTCTGCCTGAACAGCAATGGGAACTGGCTGGGGTATTCCAATTGGAAGCTATCTATCAGTCCAGGTAGCAGATAAACACCACACACCATCACATGAACTGTGACTCTAGGACCCTTGTTGGTCCAGTGACCATTCTGAGGCATGCATGGCTCAGAGCAGCACGTCTCTTCCAGGAGGCAGGGTCCAGGAGGCCAGGGCTACAGCAAGAAGGATGGGCTTTGGTCCCACTCAGCCACTGAGAGCACGTAAATGTCTTGGGAGGGGATCCTCTTTTCAAAGCCACACTCCTTTCCACTTCCAACAGCATCAACCACCAACCCAGCAGCGTCAGCAGGATGCCTCTTGGTTCCAACAAACTGCTAAAAAGCACCAGGATACCAAGAGGTACCACAGCTGAATCCTTTGGCAAATCAGCCTTCCTTCCTTGGCATCAATTTGGTTCAAGGACTTCCTCTCCAACTACCTTCTCAAATGGGAAGCAGTAACATCAGATGAGTGGGTTCTTTCCATTGTGGAGAAGGGATATATTGAATTTGACACCCTACCAGCACTTTGGGCCAAATGCTTGATTTCACCTTCCCCTGTTCAGACAGAAGAGGTCACCACAGTATTGTCAAAGGAGTGATTTGTCCTGTTCACTCATCTGTTACCATTTCTTTTCATAGAATAGTAGTGTTGGAAGGGGCCACGAAGGCCATCAAGTCCAACCCCCTGCTGTTGCAGCACACCAAGTTACACCATATCACTCAGATGCCTGTCCAGTTTCTTTTTCTCTAGTGTGGGAGAGCCCATTACTTTCCTAGGCAGCTGGTTCCACTGTCGTATTGCTCTGACAGTGAGGAGGTTTTTCCTGATATCTAGCCTGAATCTGGGTTGTCACAGCTTGACTTGATTATTCCGTGTCCTGCTCTCTGGTATCACCAAAGAGAGATCTTGACCTTCCTGTTTGTGATACCCTTTGAGGTATTTATTGGGGGCTATCATGTCCCCTCTCAGTCTTCTCAAGGCTGAACGTGCCCAGTTCCCTTAGTCTCTCCTCACAGGGCATTGTTTCCAAACCTTGGATCAGTTTTGTTGCCCTCCTCTGGACCCTTTCTAATTCTTGGTGTTTCACTGTTCCAAAGCAGGATGGCAGCCTCCATCCCATATTAGACCTGTGAGGCATTAACTTTTTCATTCTGCACAAGAAGTTCTCCATGGTCTCCCTACAAAATCTTCTTTTGCACCCGTGCCAAGGGGACTGGTTTGCCTCAATTGATTTAAAGGACACTTATTTCCATGTGTCCATCCACATGAACTACCATCACTTCCTAAGATTCCAGAACTAGGGACAAGACTTTTGGATTTTTGGTCTTCCCATTCAGACTCTCCATAGCTCCATGGAGGTTTACAAAATGTATGGCCGTGGTATGTACACATTCCTGCTTAGTCACACTGTCCTGGGAGGAACTGTTAATTTCAATTCAAGAAACTTGCAATCTCTTGGATGGAATGGTATTCTGCATTAACAGTGAGAAATTTCTTCTTCTCCCTTCTCATTCAATTCTGTACACCAGAGGACATTTGGAATCAGTGACAGCTTGAGTATACCTCCCATGGGATTGGATCTTAACCATTATTGCTTCTGTTTTCCACCTCCAACTCAAACCCCGGACCACCATTCAGAGGATACAACCAAGCGGTACCCAGATACTCATACATGGCTTCCATGTTGTCCAGTTCATGAGATTGCGAATGCAACCCCTACAGCTCTGGTTTGTCCAAGCCTACTGATCACTATGGGACTCAACCAGGAAGTGTTTACTGTTCCTCCATTCCATCGGAATAAATCCCTACTGGTGGTTCAGTGAGCACAATTTGACAAATGGGATTGCCTTCGCCCCAGCAGAACTGTCCCTGGCTTTAACAATGGACCCATCCCTCCACAGATGGGGAGCCCACTGCATGGGCAGCAAGGCCCAAGGACTGCAGACTGAATGAGACCAAAAACAGCACATAAACTACTTAGAACTCCTAGGGGTCCAAAAAGTCCTATTTGCCTTTCAGTTTATCCTCAAAGGTAGACATGTTCAGATAGAACATGACAGTGTTGTTGTTGGATGCTATCCAAACAAGCAAGGAGGTACTCCTTTCTTAAATATAACTGAATCAACTGTAGAAATATGGGACTGGTGCATAACACTCAAGATCATTGTAGCCATCTACTTGGCCAGAATTCACAAGACAGAGGGTGCCCTAAACAGAATACCTTATGAAATTCATGAATAGGAACTATACCGGGATGTTGGACAAATCTTTTCGAATCCTGAGGAACCCCATCTGTGGATCTGTCTCTGACACCATCAAACATGGTATGCAAGGCATTCTTCTCCTGCATTCTGCTTTCTTCGATGATGGATTGGAGCATTGCTTTACCTCTTTCTGCCCTTCCCTCTGTTTATAAGAGCTCTTGCAAAAATCTGAAGGGACAGAGCCAGCTGCATTCTGGTGATCCCATGGTGACCCTATCAACCATGGTTTGCTCACTTCCTCCATATATTGAAACACGGGTTCTTCCAACTTCCAAGAACACCAGACATCATCTCCCAGAATTGCAGGAAGATTCTCCATCCAGACACCAAATCTCTTTGTCTGATGGCATGGAGGATTATCACATAAACAATGACAACTCTCCACCCCAATATGCAAACCATATTAGATCAGCATTGTGACCTGATACACACCATTCCTACACAAAGTGGAATGTGTTCAAAAGCTTTGCAAGGAAAGAAGCCTTTGATTCATTCCAGACCTCCATCCTCCAAATCCTAACCTATCCACACACTTCATACCACTCTACTAAAACCATCATCTGTAAAGGTTTACCTTCCTACCATTTCATCATTTCATGGATTGGTCAAGGGTTTCTGTCTTCTTTCAGCCTCTCTCCCGATAGTTCCTGAAAGCACTACACAACCTCAAGCCACCTGTCCATTGTTGTGCCAGGATGGAGTCTGTAGTTCTTCATGCACCAACAAAGCATTTGAAGCACTTGTCGCTTCATTACGATGCAAATCAGGACTGCCCCT